AGAACATTTCTAAGGAGGAACCAGACTAAATAAGATAACAGAAGAGGTGTTTTATAAAGATAAGGAGGAGAAGAAAAGAACAAACCAAAAATCAAAACTGTGTTTAAAGGCTAAAAAAGCTAGCAACAGTAAAGAGTTAGCCCACTAGTAAACAAACAAAGTGGTCGCCATGGAAACAGCCAAGCAGAGAACAGAGAGCAGGGAGGTTAAATAGCCTGCTCTCTGTAAGAGTGCAGCAGCCAGGGAGAAGTTTAAGGAAAAGACACTTCAGGAGAACAAACACAAAGAAGGGAGGAAGAAGAACAACCTCATATTCTTCACAGACTCCATATACATCTGGAAGGAAAGTCTATGCAAGAAATATCCTTACATCTCCAGTGAGGGCATCGGTTCAGGAGGCCGACTGAAGATTTGTAAGGAGAAACACATGAACAAGGATGACCACCTGCTCACCATCACCTACTACACAAAGGGAAAGGTGATGGTCCAGGGGGGCGAAGCAAACTTGAAATCCTTTGAAGAAGTTTTCTCCCTGATCAAAGCTGAGGTGGACACCAAGAGGTGCAATGTTCCGTGTGACAGTGAAGATGATGAGAGCCCAACAGAGAACCCCACCACCTTGTCCATCTCTGCCCCTCCCACACCTGCCAGCTCCACCAAACAGATGAAGGAGAGTATGGCCCTGCTGGAGCTGGACTTTGCTGAATTCAAAGAGCTGACCCAGGCCAGGCTGTCTGCCCCCCTAGACAACATTGTGCAGCAGCTTCAAGAGGAGCTCCTGCAGCTCAAGAGAGACAACCAGACCTCGACATCTGAGGTAAGAGGAAGTGTAGAGGCACTAAAACAGGAGAACAGTGCGCTCCGGTTTCAGTTAGCCAAAGTGAAGGAGGACGCTGAGAACAGAGAAAGGAACATCACCAGGCAAGTCCGACACCTAACAGACCAACTCTCAACAGTCCCCACAGAGACAACTACAGAGACAGAGACACAGACTCTCCCTGCTAGCCTTCTAAACCCCTGCCTTGTCTCTGTCCCACCATCTCTGCTCTGCACCCTACCATCCAAGCTGCCCTCCACTCAGCCTGAAGAACAAGCCCCACAAGTGGTCCTGCTGGCTGACTCAAACGGGAAATTCCTGGACACCAACAAGCTTTTTCCTTTTAAGAAAGTGCTGTCTAAATGTTGCAGCACCACAGGCCAGGCAATGAAGCTGTTGAGAAAGGAGACCCTCGGGAGCCCTCAATGCCTGGTAATCCACACAGGAAAAAACGACCTGCACAACCTCTGAAGGAACACTGCTGAGGCAGTGAGGAAGATGGCGGAGCAGGCCACCAAGGAATTCCCTGACACCCACATTGTGATCTCCACCCTGCTGCCTAGGACAGGTCACCCCTCCTCACGTCATCCATGACATCAATATGGAGATCAGAAGAGGTTGTGCCACCTTACCCAACATCCACCTGGCCCTCCATCCAACCATTGGCACCTGGGACCTCAACGATGGACTCCATCTACACAGAGAGAAGGTGAATATCTTTGCAAAGACCCTCAAAAACACAGCCCTAGGACGCAGCCCTTCAACCCTCTCTTCTACCAGAAGCTTCAGAGACCATCACAGACCTCCTCCCCCCCATCACCAGCCCCGGATCATCCCCCCTGCTGTGAGGAGACACACCAGCTCAGCCCGGACCCCACACTACCCACACGCCCACCACCTCACCACTGTGAAACAGAACCAGCTGAGGTCACTTTCCCCCTCCTCAGTCCCTGCCCAACAACCCCTTATACAGCATCGGCAGCAGAGCCATGGAGCAGCACGTCCCCCTCCCACCCACAGCAGCAGAGCTATGCTGCAGCTGTAGCCCGGCCTGCTGTCACAGCCCCTCCCCCTGCTACCTGTGAGCTGAGAGACATCAGTGAGATGCTGCACACCCTGTGCACCTGGCTTCTGTCCAGCTAAGATATATTTACTCAGAGCATTTTCCCATTTGAGTTACAAAACAACATGGACATATATTTGTTAGTTAGTAATAGTAATAGCAATAATAGTAGTCAATACAATGGTAATATTATTGAAAATAGTACATCTCCATGGAATTAATATCAAATTATTATTATAAATATATAGATAGTAGAAGGTTTTTTAAATATTTGTCTCACTATACAGGTTCATTTTGACTGTTTTCTTTTTTGATGCATTCATTTCATATAAGCTGTGGGAATATTCAGGGTCTCCACTCCTCAGCCTTTGAGCTGAAGAGTGGAAACCCTGAGTTCGCCTATTTCCAAGCACAGGGAAATGTACTTCTAACTGGAGATCTGAATGCACGTACAGGAATTGAACCTGATATCATTGACACACAGGGCAACAACCATGTATTCGGTCAGGCCCCCCTCTTTACCACACCAAACATCACCCGTTGGAATAAACTTGACTCAATATTAAATCAAAGTGGCAGGGAGATCTCTGTCGGGCCTTAGGCCTGTACATAGTTAATGGTAGGTTCAGAGGGGACTCTTTAGGGAGGTTCACATACTCCTCAGCTCTTGGGTCTAGTGTTGTAGACTATGCAATCACTGACATGGACCCCTCAACTATCAGTGCATTGGCACTGTCAGACAGCAATCCCCCCTTTCAGACCACAACCAAATTAATGTGTTCTTTAAATTGTCAGGTCAAATTAGTGACACAAAAAGGGAACCCAATAAGCTGTATAAATTAAATCCTTCTTACAGATGGGCCTCAGACAGTGGAGACAAATTCATCAAGGCTTTGAACTCCCCTGATCTGATGAATTACATATCAATATATAATCAAAATCAATATGTCCCTACCAGAGATGGGGTAAACAAGGCCATTGAGGATATCCATATGATATTTCATAAGGCAGCTATTAGGGCTGACTTCATAAAGCAAAGAGCAAAGATGGAGGCCTATTAAAAGGCAAAATACTGACAAATGGTTTGATCAAGAATGCAAAACAATCAGAAAAGAGCTGAGAAAAATAGCAAATGAGAAACATCGCCAACCGAACAACCCAGCCCTGCGCATTCGATACAGTGACATTTTAAATACATATAAATACATAATTAGGATCAAAAAACAAAATTATACCCAATTGAAACTTGAAGATATTAAGAATGCCATTAACCAAAATCAATTCTGGGATATGTGAAACAAGTTCAACACAAAGCAACAGCAGACATTACCCATCCAAAACGGTGACATCTGGAGATCACATTTTGAAAATCTGTACAAAGACATACCAATCAATCAAATCAATTCAGATCAGTGTATTATGAAAGAAAAACTCCAAAAACTAGAAGAAACAATTAAAGACAACCAAAACCCCCTTGATTTAGAAATTACTTGGGAAGAAATAACCACACAGACAAAATGTCTGAAGCCAAGGAAAGCTTGTGGTCCAGACAGCATTAGAAACGAAATGCTCAAAAGCAGCACCCCAGAAATGCAGGGTGCAGTGTTACATTTGTTCAATGTTACACTACAGGCAGGATGTTTTCCCAACATCTGGTGCAAAGGGCTCATTTCCCCCATTCATAAGAGTGGGGACAAATCAGACCCTAATAACTACCGTGGCATCTGTGTCAGCAGCTGTCTAGGTAAACTATTCTGTAGTATTCTTAATACAAGAATACGAGATTTCCTTGAGGATCAGTCAATCTTAAGTAAAAGTCAGATTGGCTTCCTCCCAAAACACCGCACCACCGACAGTGTATATACCCTTCACACTTTAATCAACAAACATGTACAACAAACTAAGAATGGAAAAATATTCACCTGCTTTATTGATTTCAAGAAAGCTTTGGACTCTATTTGGCAGGAAGGGCTCTATTACAGACTTTTAAACTGTGGTATAGGTGGCAAAATGTATGATCTGGTTAAATCAAAGTATTTGGAAAACGGGTGCTGTTAAAATTGGAGACAAACTAACTGATTTCTTCCCTCAGAGAAGAGGTGGCAGGGTTGCAGTCTAAGTCCGACTTTATTTAACGTGTATATAAATGAACTGGCTGTTGAGTTAGATAAATGTGCTGCTCCGGGCCTCTCCCTCCTAGATAGAGAGGTGAAGTCTCTGTTTTATGCTGATGACCTTGTTCTACTGTCTCCTACTGAACAAGGACTACAGCTACAGCTGGACGTAGTAGAAAAGTACTGTCAGAACTGGGCCCTGGCAGTAAACATGAAGAAAATCAATGTCATGATCTTTCAAAAACGCCCCAGGTGTCATAAGAACAAACACCAATTTACCATCAATAATCATGTCATTGAACACAGCATGAGTTGTACCTACCTTGGTATAACCATAACAGCATCAGGGAGTTTCAACATGGCAGTGAATGCACTAAAAGAAAAAGCTCAAAGAGCTCTGTATGCAATTAAGAGAAAATGTTATAATTTCCATATTCCAATAAAAATCTGGCTTAAAATATTTGATAGTGTCATCCAGCCCATTGCGCTGTACGGTAGTGAAGTATGGGGTCCACTCAGTCATCAGAGCTTTACCCGTTGGGACAAACATCCAATAGAATCTCTCAAGATTAAAAACTCACCTATTCAGAACTGCCTACCCCACTTAACCTTCTACATTGTCTTTTCTTATCTGTTTCTTATTTCTTGCTGTTTTTTGTTTTTTTGTGTTGTACGGTGTCCTCGAGTGCCCAGAGAGGCGCCTCTAATAATTTAATGTATTATTATTTATTATTACATGCAGAATTCTGCAGACTAATATAATGTTCATACTGTTTATATTTTTGATTTATTGTTTTTATTGTTTACAATTACAATATTGTTTTTTAAAAAAACTTTCATGCCAATAAAGCCCATTTTGAATTTAAATTTGAATTTTGAATTTGAATTTGAATTTGAATTTGATAGAGAGAGAGAGAGAGAGAGAGAGAGAGAGAGAGAGTTAGGGTGTTCATATAACTCTAGTGAGGTCAGAGGGTAACGATGTGTTCTGATTGGTTCCTGACAGGTGTGACATCATTCGGGATTGGCTGTGGACGTCCTCAGAGACCTTCAGTCTACGCCAGAGTCTCTGCCTTCACGTCCTGGATCGCCCAGACCAGACGCTCCTCCACCTCCTCCTCCTCCTCCTTCTGATGATGAAGATGAAGTTGCTTCCTGTGTTTGATTCTTTTAATAAAATATTGAATGAAAGCAGTTGATTCCTCTCAGTAATAATCATTTCATTATCTGTGATTCAGTAAAAACAAAAGTATCTGATAATGAAGTAAAAGAATAAATCGTGTTTTATATCAAATGTTTTTACTTGAGGTCATATTTTTATATATGTATATCTTTGAATTGGAGCACACCTTGATAAAGAGATAGAGATCAGCCATAACTTTATAACCACCAGGGTGTGCTGACTGTCAGCAGCACCGACTCCAGATCTGAATTAAATAACAAAGTTAATGATTGAAAGCAGTGAATTCTGGGATTTTACTGGCAGAGGTATGGATCGGCAGATCAATATGTAGTTTAACTTGTTAACCTATAAAGCTCTTCATGGTCAGGCCCCTTCATATCTTAAAGAGCTCATAGTACCCTATTACCCCACTAGAACACTACGTTCTCTGAATGCTGGGCTACTTGTGGTTCCTATAGTCTCTAAAAGTAGAACAGGAGCCAGAGCCTTCAGTTACCAAGCTCCTCTCCTGTGGAACCAGCTTCCAGTTGTGGTTCTGGAGGCAGACACCCTCACCACATTCAAGAGTAGGCTTAAGACATTCCTCTTTGATAAAGCTTATAGTTAGGGCTGGATCAGGTGAGTCCTGAACCATCCCTTAGTTATGCTGCTATAGGCCTAGACTATCGGGGGATTTCCCATGGTGCACTGAGCTCCTCTCTTCCTCTCTCTTTCTGCACTCATTCATGTTCCATTAATGCATGTTACTAACTTCACTTCTTCCCCGGAGTTCTTGTGCTTTCTCGTCTCGCAGGTTCTCATGGATCCTGGTGGAGCCTCCTGCCATGGTCCTGCTTGACTGTGCATCTGTCTGCCTCTCTGCCTCTCTCTCTCTCTCTCTCTCTCTCTCTCTCTCACCCTCTCTCTCTCTGTCTCTCTCTCTCTCTCTCTCTCACCCCAACTGGTCGAGACAGACGACCACCCACCTAGAGCCGGAGGATCTGTCCTAGGTTTCTGCCTTTTAACAGGCAGTTTTTCCTTGCCCTTGTCTCCAAGGTCTTGCTCATGGTGGTACTGTTGGGTCTCTGTAATTAATGTTAAAGAGTTCGGTCTAGACCTGCTCTATTTGAAAAGTGTCCTGAGATAACTTCTGTTATGAATTGGCGCTATACAAATAAAATTGAATTGAATTGAATTGAATTATTATTATTATTATTATTATTATTATTATTATTATTATTATTGTTGTTGTTACTGTTATTATTATTATTATTGTTATTATTATTACTGATGTTATTATTGTTATTATTATTATTACTGATGTTATTATTGTTATTATTGTTATTATTATTACTGATGTTATTATTGTTATTATTATTATTATTATGATTATTACGCCCCCCCCCCCAAAATAGAAACAGCAGAATGAAGAAATTATTGGTTTTCTGCAGATCAATAACATTCAGATCAATCTCCACTCCGAACCAGCAGGTGGCGGTGTAAACCTGCACAGTTTCCGCCAATAAACCGGAAGAAGAAGAAGAAGAAGAAGTAGTAGTAGTAGTATCCAGGAAGTGATGTCAGGCTGCACCCCGGCAGGAGGCTAACCGGTGCTAGCAGGTAAATAAATCAGCTGATTTTAATGTTTTTATTATTTTGATCTTCAATTCACCGTCACACGGATGACATCACACTGATGCGTGACGTATCATAAGGTTGACAACGTCACTAGAGTCCGCGGCTGTCTGTTAGCCTAGCTGTTAGCAGTTAGCTGTGTGTTAGCTCTGCATTAGCAGAGCAGTGATAGTAATACATGATTATAGATTATTGATTGAACAACTACATACAGAACATAGCTCTAGAGCTGTTTATACACTGATTAATGATTATAGATTATTGATTTAAACGAGGAGCGTGAACAGAAATCATTAAAGAGACGATTCATGTTTAGATTGTAGCTGCTTTCCATCAGCAGCAGCAGCAGCAAATATATATATATATATATATATATATGTATGTTATATGTATGTGTATATAAACTGCTGATGGTGTCTGAGGGTTCAGAGCTGGTCTGTGAGGGGGGGGGCAGCAGCAGGGTTTTGGGGGATAGAACCAGAAGTTGATGATTTCTGTGACGAGTTATTAACTAAGTTAACATTTTATTTTGTGTCTCAGAGCTTCAAGATGAGCAGTCGAGCTGCTGGAAAACCCAGAGAGGAGGAGGAGAAGGAGGAAGAGGGGGAGGACTTCTACGACTGCCAGGAGATTTTGGAACCTCCAGAATCAAGAGGGGAGGAGAAGGAGAAAGAGGAGGAGGAAGGAGAGTCGGGGGACTTTAAAACTGACAGACTGACTGACAAGACAAACGTCATAGAGAGGGAGGGAGGAGGACAGGAGGAGGCGCAGGACGACAGACTGCAAGACGACAGGCTGCAGGAGGAGGTGCAGGACGACAGGCTACTGGAGGAGGCGCAGGACGACAGGCTGCAGGAGGAGGCGCAGGACGACAGGCTGCAGGAGGAGGCGCAGGACGACAGGCTGCAGGAGGATTCAGATTCAGAGATGAAGGAGAACCAAGAGGTGGAGTTTGACGATGACTACCTGAGGGAGGTGGAGAAGGAGCTGACAGAGGAAGAGAAGGAGGTAAAACTTTCACCTGTTCACCTGTTCACCTGTTGACCCCAGTGTAGAAAGACGCGTTCAGGTGCTTCCCGGTATTCTTTACAACCTGAAGTTTATTTTCTGTTTCAGAGTCGACAACAGCAAAGTTTGACTCTGAAGGAAAAGGGAAACTGTCAGTTCAAAGCTGGAGGTGAGTACAAAGACCAGTATAAACCAGTATAAAGACCAGTACAAAGACCACTGTAAACCAGTACAAAGACCAGCATAAACCAGTATAAAGACCACTATAAACCAGTACAAAGACTACTATAAACCAGTATAAAGACCACTATAAACCAGTACAAAGAACAGTATAAACCAGTATAAAGACCAGTACAAAGACCACTATAAACCAGTACAAAGACTACTATAAACCAGTACAAAGACTACTATAAACCAGTATAAAGACCACTACAAACCAGTACAAAGACTACTATAAACCAGTATAAAGACCACTACAAACCAGTACAAAGGCTACTATAAACCAGTATAAAGACCAGTATAAACCAGTACAATGACCAGTATAAACCAGTACAAAGACTACCATAAACCAGTATTAAGACCAGTATAAACCAGTATAAAAACCACTACAAACCAGTACAAAGACTACTATAAACCAGTATAAAGACCAATATAAAGCAGTACAACGGTAACGCCGTTATTAAGATGGGAAGAGTAATCAATTAGATTACTTGTTACTGAAAAAAGTAACGCCGTTATTTATAACACCGTTATTCCCATCACTGATAAAGACCACTATAAACCAGTAAAAAGACCACTATAAACCAGTACAAAGACCACTATAAACCAGTACAAAGACCACTTTAAACCAGTACAAAGACCAGTATAAACCAGTACGAAGACCACTATAAACCAGTAAAAAGACCAGTATAAACCAGTACGAAGACCACTATAAACCAGTACAAAGACCACTATAAACCAGTACAAAGACCAGTATAGACCAGTATAAAGACCACTAAAAATACCACTATAAACCAGTACAAATACCAGTATAAAGACCACTATAACCCAGTATAAAGGCCAGCATAAACCAGTATAAAGACCACTACAAACCAGTACAAAGACTACTATAAACCAGTATAAAGACCACTATAAACCAGTACAAAGAACAGTATAAACCAGTATAAAGACCAGTACAAAGACCACTATAAACCAGTATAAAGACCACTACAAACCAGTACAAAGACTACTATAAACCAGTATAAAGACCTGTACAAACCAGTACAAAGACTACTATAAACCAGTAGAAAGACCAGTATAAAGACCACTACAAACCAGTACAAAGGCTACTTTAAACCAGTATAAACACCACTATAAACCAGTACAATGACCAGTATAAACCAGTATAAAGACCAGTACAAAGACCACCATAAACCAGTATGAAGACCAGTATAAACCAGTATAAAACCACTACAAACCAGTACAAAGACTACTATAAACCAGTACAAAGACTACTATAAACCAGTACAATGACCAGTATAAACCAGTATAAAGACCAGTACAAAGACTACTATAAACCAGTATATAAACCAGTATAAAGACCACTATAAACCAGTACAAAGACTACTATAAACCAGTACAAAGACTACTATAAACCAGTACAATGACCAGTATAAACCAGTATAAAGACCAGTACAAAGACTACTATAAACCAGTATGAAGACCAGTATAAACCAGTATAAAGACCACTACAAACCAGTACAAAGACTACTATAAACCAGTATAAAGACCAGTATAAACCAGTATAAAGACCACTATAAACCAGTACAAAGACTACTATAAACCAGTATAAAGACCACTATAAACCAGTACAATGACCAGTATAAACCAGTATAAAGACCAGTACAAAGACCACTATAAACCAGTATGAAGACCAGTATAAACCAGTATAAAGACCACTACAAACCAGTACAAAGACTACTTTAAACCAGTATAAAGACCAGTACAAAGACCACTATAAACCAGTATGAAGACCAGTATAAACCAGTATAAAGACCACTACAAACCAGTACAAAGACTACTTTAAACCAGTATAAAGACCAGTACAAAGACCACTATAAACCAGTATAAAGACCAGTATAAACCAGTATAAAGACCACTATAAACCAGTACAAAGACTACTATAAACCAGTATGAAGACCACTATAACCCAGTATAAAGACCAGTATAAACCAGTATAAAGACCACTATAAACCAGTACAAAGACTACTATAAACCAGTACGAAGACCACTATAACCCAGTATAAAGACCAGTATTAACCAGTATAAAGACCAGTACAAAGACCACTATAAACCAGTACAAAGACCACTATAAACCAGTACAAAGACTACTATAAACCATTATAAAGACCACTATAACCCAGTATAAAGACCAGTATAAACCAGTATAAAGACCAGTACAAAGACCACTATAAACCAGTATAAAGACCACTATAAACCAGTACAAAGACCAGTATAAACCAGTATAAACCAGTACAAAGACCACTACAAACCAGTACAAAGACTACTATAAACCAGTATAAAGACCTGTATAAACCAGTACAAAGACTACTATAAACCAGCATAAAGACCACTATAAACCAGTACAAAGACCAGTATAAAGACCACTACAAACCAGTACAAAGGCTACTATAAACCAGTATAAAGACCACTATAAACCAGTACAATGACCAGTATAAACCAGTATAAAGACCAGTACAAGGACCACTATAAAACAGTATGAAGACCAGTATAAAGACCGCTACAAACCAGTACAAAGACTACTATAAAGACCAGTACAAAGACCACTATATACCACTATAAGCCAGTATAAAGACCAGTATAAACCAGTATAAAGCCCACTACAAACCAGTACAAAGACTACTATAAACCAGTATAAAGACCACTATAAACCAGTATAAAGACCAGTATAAACCAGTATAAAGACCACTATAAACCAGTATAAAGACCAGTATAAACCAGTACAAAGACCAGTATAAACCAGTATAAACCAGTACAAAGACCTCTATAGACCAGTATAAACCAGTATAAACCAGTACAAAGACCACTATAGACCAGTAGGAACCAGTATAAACCACTATAAACCAGTACAAAGACCAGTATGAAGACCAGTACAAAGACCAGTATAAACCAGTACAAAGACCAGTATAAACCAGCACAAAGACCACTATAGACCAGTAGAAACCAGTATAAAGACCACTATAAACCAGTACAAAGACCAGTAGAAACCAGTATAAAGACCACTATAAACCAGTATAAACCAGCACAAAGACCACTATAGAGACCGCCATAGACCAGCAGAAACCAGTATAAAGACCAGTATAAACCAGGACAAACTGTTCCTCCTGCAGACTGGCTGGAGGCGGAGCGGAGCTACAAGGAGGCGCTGGTTTTATGTCCCGTGTGTTTCAGCAGAGAGCGAGCCGTCCTGTTCTCCAACAGAGCTGCTGCGAGACTGCACCTGGTAACAGCTAGCAGCATGCTAACTACATGCTAACTACATGCTAACTACATGCTAACTACATGCTAACAGTGTCTCTGTTTCAGGGTCTGAAGGATCAGGCGATCTCCGACTGCACCAGAGGTGAGTGATGACATCATTGCGTACCTGTACAGCACAGGGTCGGTCACTGGCTGATCTGTGTATTGATTGGTTGTCTGGTTGCCGTAGCGATAGAGCTGAATCCAGACTACGTGCGGGCATTGCTGAGGAGGGCGGAGCTTTACGAGCAGACGGAGAAGCTGGACGAGGCTCTGGAGGACTACAAGAAGGTTCTGGAGCGAGACCCAAACCAGACCACTGCCAGACATGCCTGCATGGTGAGTCCCGACCTCTGGGACCAGAACCAGAACGGTCTGTTAGCATTCAGCACAACTCACTGTCGGTCCGACTATTGATCTGAATATGATTCGCCCTGAGATATAATCGGAGGGGCGTTATTGTTACGTTTATATGAACCAGAGACTGACCTCTGCCCTGTATCTGCGGCACTGACCTCTGCCCTGTATCTACGTAAAGAAGAAGGGGGTTGTCACAGGGTTGACACGTTGTCCCGACTCCCCAGAGATTTAATCTGGTAATGAAACCAAATCAGAGCGGACGGGAAAAAGCTACTGAGGACCGAATGTAGTATTTAAGATGTCTCCATGGCAACATTATACTTCCTCTTACATCCCAAAATAAATAATTAATGAGCTTCATGTTGAACTGTTGATATCTTTATATTATTTATCTGTCTGTCTACCTGTCTGTCTGCCAGAGGTTGCCTCAGCAGATTCAGGAGAGAAATGAGAAGTTGAAGGAGGAGATGATGAGTACGTACTGCACCTGAACACACCACCTTAAAGGAACAGTACACTGTTTATAACTGATCAATAATCAATTCAGATATATTCATACATCAGATCAGATTTGTTCCAGTATTTTCACAATAAAAGCACACAGTTACTTCACGTCAAGCGATCATTTCAAACCCTTCCTGTGACCTTTGACCCCTCCGCAGGTAAACTGAAGGACCTGGGGAACCTGGTCTTGAGACCTTTCGGACTTTCTACCAACAACTTCCAGGTGAACCAGGACTCCGACACCGGCTCCTACTCCATCAACTTCATCCAGAACCCAAACAACAACAACAGATGACATCACGGCCAGTACAGTCACCTGTGTATCTACCTGTCTGTGTTCAGAGGAAAATAAACTCATTGATTTGCTGATTGATTCTTTGCCCGTTTCTTGGTATCCATGGTAACCTGTGCTGCAGGTCAGAGGACCAATCAGATTGATGGAAACATTGATGTCAAAGATCAATAGATATTTCTATCGATCAGTTTGTGTTCAGGCTTTCAGGTGTTTAAATAAACTATCAATATTCATCCTGATCAGCACCTGCTGTTTCAGTTTTTAGTCTGCTGCTGTCAATCAATAAAGTCGATCAGAGGAAAGCCTGCTATCTTTAAATGAACAGTGTCACTATCTATCAGTCTTTATTGATATGTATTGATTGTTTATCTGAACACCTGGACCAGCAAGCGGCAGTGGAGTCCAGATCAATACAGTGATCAATGAATGAAAACAGGCAACAGACTGAAGGTTCAACATTTTAATATGAACAAACTCTAAACACATACATTGATTATTGAGTATAGATGAGTTATTGATTACAGATGATCACTGAGCTCTCCTGGACAGCAGCATCTCTCGGATGTTGTCTTCTGCTTCTTTCACGCTGCGTTCAAGGTACACCTTCTTCTGCTGGAAATCACACAACACACAGTCAGACCACTGATACACCTGGACAGGTAGCGCGCGCGCCCACACACACACCTGGACAGGTAGCGCGCCCCACACACACACACCTGGACAGGTAGCGCGCACACACACACACACACACCTGGACAGGTAGCGCGCACACACACACACACACACCTGGACAGGTAGCGCGCCCACACACACACACACACACCTGGACAGGTAGCGCGCACACACACACACACACACACACCTGGACAGGTAGCGCGCACACACACACACACACACACCTGGACAGGTAGCGCGCACACACACACACACACACACCTGGACAGGTAGCGCGCACACACACACACACACACCTGGACAGGTAGCGCGCACACACACACACACACACACCTGGACAGGTAGCGCGCACACACACACACACACACCTGGACAGGTAGCGCCCCACACACACACACACACCCTGGACAGGTAGCGCGCCCACACACACACACACACCTGGACAGGTAGCGCGCCCACACACACACACACACACCTGGACAGGTAGCGCGCCCACACACACACACACACACCTGGACAGGTAGCACGCCCACACACACACACACACACCTGGACAGGTAGCGCGCCCACACACACACACACACCTGGACAGGTAGCGCGCCCACACACACACACCTGGACAGGTAGCACGCCCACACACACCTGGACAGGTAAGGTTTCAGAGTGTTTTTGTACCTCAAGTTCTTTAATTTTCTCATCAGCTGTTTTCTGTTTGTCTGTCAGCTGATTGTTGATTTCCTCCTTCGACTGAAGAATGAACCTGAGACACACACACACACACACACACACACACCACCAGTGCAGTTTATTATCTATCCAGGTGAACAAAAGTCTTGTTGTTGCCATGGAAACTCACATGCGTCCAACTCCCTCGTAGAGTCGCGTGTTGTCCGGCAGCACGCCGATCTCTGCGTGAGTTAGCTTAGCATGTTTCTGAACCCGAGTCAGCTGATCGATCTGCAGGTCGGCCAACTTCACCTTCTGCTGCGTGTCGATCATCTTCACCTGCAGCTCCGAGAACGCCTACAACAGAGAGGTATCACTCTGATTAAACACACCTGAACCAACAACAGAGAGGTATCACTCTGATTAAATACACCTGAACCAACAACAGAGAGGTATCACTCTGATTAAACACACCTGAACCAACAACAGAGAGGTATCACTCTGATTAAACACACCTGAACCTCCAACAGAGAGGTATCACTCTGATTAAACACACCTGAACCTCCAACAGAGAGGTATCACTCTGATTAAACACACCTGAACCTACAACAGAGAGGTATCACTCTGATTAAACACACCTGAACCTACAACAGAGAGGTATCACTCTGATTAAACACACCTGAACCAACAACAGAGAGGTATCACTCTGATTAAACACACCTGAACCTACAACAGAGAGGTATCACTCTGATTAAACACACCTGAACCAACAACAGAGAGGTATCACTCTGATTAAACACACCTGAACCAACAACAGAGAGGTATCACTCTGATTAAATACACCTGAACCAACAACAGAGAGGTATCACTCTGATTAAACACACCTGAACCTACAACAGAGAGGTATCACTCTGATTAAATACACCTGAACCAACAACAGAGAGGTATCACTCTGATTAAATACACCTGAACCAACAACAGAGAGGTATCACTCTGATTAAACTGAACCACATTGATTACCACAACCAACAGAGAGGTATCACTCTGATTAAACTCACCTGAACCAACAACAGAGAGGTATCACTCTGATTAAACTCACCTGAACCAACAACAGAGAGGTATCACTCTGATTAAACACACCTGAACCAACAACAGAGAGGTATCACTCTGATTAAACACACCTGAACCAACAACAGAGAGGTATCACTCTGATTAAACACACCTGAACCTCCAACAGAGAGGTATCACTCTGATTAAACACACCTGAACCAACAACAGAGAGGTATCACTCTGATTAAACACACCTGAACCTACAACAGAGAGGTATCACTCTGATTAAACACACCTGAACCAACAACAGAGAGGTATCACTCTGATTAAACTCACCTGAACCAACAACAGAGAGGTATCACTCTGATTAAATACACCTGAACCTCCTCCTCACTGATTAATCTTTCATCGATATATGTATCTCTATAATCGATATATGTATCGATATAATCGATATATGTATCGATATAACAATGTGCGTGCAGCGTGGTCAGTGTTAGCCTCTCATGCTAACAGTCCGCGTTGCTAACGGGCCGATTATTGATCATTATTATTGATATTTTCCCGCCACGGCTCTCCGTTAAACACAGACAGACAGACAGACAGGCAGACAGACAGGCAGACAGACAGGCAGACAGACAGGATAGATGAGGTAGAAACGGTCTGTTACCTTCTTCAGCTCCAGGTCTATGGGCGCCGCCATGTTCACCAACAAACACAGCCGCACACTGCGCATGTGCAAACATTATTCTTCTGCTTCTTCTTCTTTGGGTTTAATGGCGGTTGCCAGTAACCGGAAACCGGAGATTGTCAGAAAAAAAAAACCTGCTTTATATTTCTACATAAATTAAACTTATATATTTATATATTATATTTAATACATTAAATATAATATATAAATATAATATATAAATACTATATATATTTATATATTTATATATTATATTTAATACATATATTATATTTATATATTTATATATTATATTTAATACATTAAATATAATATATAAATATAATATATGTATACATATATTATATTTATATATTTATATATTATATTTAATACATTAAATATTGCACCAAGACTAATTCCTTGTGTAAAAACCTACCTGTCAATCAATCTGATTCTGATATAATATATAAACTGTTTCATTAATGTAAATACAGGAAGCAGAAGGATGATGGGGCTGGGTTCTCTCTGAAGTCCACAACCATCTCCACTGGTGGTTCTGGCTGCACCAGGTCACCAGATGGTCAATCTCCCATCTGGAGGCGGACTCATCTCCACCAGCTCCACCTGCTGCTTCCTGTCAGACAGGAAGTCTGTGATCCACCTGCAGTGAGCTGGGAGAGCCTGTAGCAGAGCAGGGATGATGGTGTTGAACACAGAGCTGAAGTCCACAAACAGGATCCTGGTGTGAAGTGCAGGGCCATGTTAACTGCATCATCCACAGACCTGTTGGCTCTGTAGGCGAACTGCAGGGGGTCCAGGAGAGGGTCCGTTATGGCTTTCAGGTGGAGCAGGTCAGTGAGGTAGGAAGGAGCCTGGTTATGGAGGGCTTTGTGTGTGAGGAGGAGGATTTTGAACTGAATGCGCTGTGGAACTGGGAGCCAGTGGAGGTTCTGGAGGACGGGAGTGATGTGATCACAGGTGCTGGTGTGGGTGAGCAGACGTGCAGCGGAGTTTTGGATGTACTGTAGCTTATTCAGAGTTCTGGATGGTGTGCCATAGAGGATGCTGTTGCAGTAGTTGATTCTGGAGGTGATGAAGGCGTGGATGAGGGTTTCAGCAGCAGATGAGATATATATATATTATATATATATATATATATAATTAATGCTGACAGTAGTAACTCTGCTTACTGATGCTCTGATGTCACAGTGTGCAGCTGTCTGTCTGTCTGACTGTCTGTCTGTCTGTAACATTTCAACCGTCTGTATACAGAATATCTGCTGATGATGGATGGATGTAGTTTTGTGCTACTGTCCCATTTGATACCTTCAGGTTGTGTGTGTGTGTGTGTGTGTGTGTGTGTGTGTGTGTGTGTGTGTGTGTGTGTGTGTGGAGTGTCAGCACTGCAGGTTCAGTGATTTATAACAGAAGGGTTATAACAGGGTTGAGACATTTACTGAGTTTAACCTCAGTACAGTCAGATGATTCAGTTTACTGATCAATTAACAGGTTTTATGGTGGAGGACCTCTTTAATCGTAGAGTGAGACATCTTTATTTTAGCTGTGGAACCGGAGCGGAGTGAGACATCTTTATTTTAGCTGTGGAACCGGAGCGGAGTGACACATCTTTATTTTAGCCGTGGAACCGGAGGGTGCACACTTATTTTAGCTGTGGAACCGGAGCGGAGTGACACATCTTTATTTTAGCTGTGGAACCGGAGCGGAGTGACACATCTTTATTTTAGCTGTGGAACCGGAGCGGAGTGACACATCTTTATTTTAGCTGTGGAACCGGAGCGGAGTGAGACATCTTCTCAGGTGTGTTGTAATGAAATATCTCTGCGCCTGCGCAGTCGCGCCCCCGGAAACTGAACTGTAACCGCGCGCGGGATTCAACCTTAGAAGCAGTCGGTCAGTTTCTGTCCGCGCGCTGAACGAGGAAACAAACAAACAAACAAACAAACAAACAAACAAACGGGATAAAACAGATTGTTGTAAACATGGCGACCCCTCCGAAGAGAGCGCTCCGTGTTCCCGCCACTCAGACCCGCACAGAGAAGAAGATCTCCATCGAGGGAAACATCGGTGAGTGATCAGCTGACTGTAGAATGATTGATTATCTGATCGATTAACGGTCCATCGGGAACATCGGTGAGTGATCAGCTGACTGTAGAATGATTGATTATCGATCGATTAACGGTCCATCAGAAACATCGGTGAGGATCAGCTGACTGTAGAATGATTGATTATCTGATCGATTAACGGTCCATCGAGGGAAACATCGGTGAGTGATCAGCTGACTGTAGAATGATTGATTATCTGATCGATTAACGGTCCATCGAGGGAAACATCGGTGAGTGATCAGCTGACTGTAGAATGATTGATTATCTGATCGATTAACGGTCCATTCTGCCGGTGAACACCGACTCACCGCCACCGGAGGAAAATGGAGGATTTGTAGTTTTTAAAAGTTAAACAGATAAAATCCTTCCCGCCTCAACGGACCTGATTGGCGCCAAATTAAACCGATCACTGACTGTCAATAATCAATAATCAGAGTGTTTCTATATCGGTGGATACAAATATCTGTTAGCAGTAAAAGTACTGCAGTGTACTTTAAAGTATAAGTACTCATTATTGTGGTATTATTTAATTTATATTATTATTATCATTATTTATATACAATATTATTTAATTTATATTATTGTTATTATTTATATATAATTTATATTTTATTATCATTATTTATATACAATATTATTTAATTTATATTATTATTATCATTATTTATATACAATATTATTTAATTTATATTATTGTTATTATTTATATATAATTTATATTTTATTATCATTATTTATATACAATATTATTTAATTTATATTATTGTTATTATTTATATACAATATTATTTAATTTATATTATTGTTATTATTTATATATAATTTATATTTTATTATCATTATTTATATACAGTATTATATAATTTATATTATTGTTATTATTTATATATAATATTATTTAATTTATATTATTGTTATTATTTATATATAATTTATATTTTATTATCATTATTTATATACAATATTATTTAATTTATATTCTTATTATCATTATTTATATACAATATTATTTAATTTATATTATTGTTATTATTTATATATAATTTATATTTTATTATCATTATTTATATACAATATTATTTAATTTATATTATTGTTATTATTTATATATAATATTATTTAATTTATATTATTATTATTTATATACAATATTATTTAATTTATATTATTGTTATTATTTATATATAATATTATTTAATTTATATTATTGTTATTATTTATATATAATATATTTTAATTTATATTATTATTTTAATTTATACATAATGTTATATTATTATTATTATTATTATTTATATATAATATTATATAATTTGTCTCTCTGCCTGTGTGTCTGTCTCTCTCTCTACCTGTCTGTGTCTCAGCTGCAGGTAAGTCTACGTTCGTGCGCCTCCTCCAGGGGGCGTCGGAGGACTGGGAGGTGATTCCTGAACCAATCGGGAAATGGTGCAACGTTCAGAACGACAGCGACAACATTTACCAGGTGAACATACAGCACCTGAACACAATGACATCATCGTCTGTTTACCTGTCTGTTTACCTGTCTGTTAACCTGTCTGTCTACCTGTCTGTCTGCAGGAACTGAGCTCCTCTCAGAAGAGTGGAGGAAACCTGCTCCAGATGTTGTATGATAAACCGAGCCGCTGGTCCTACACCTTCCAGGTAACTGCTCCTGACTCCACCCACTCAGGTGGTGATGATGAGCTGTAAGACTAATCATTTACCTGTCTGTCTCTACCTGTCTGTCTGTCAGAGCTATGCGTGTCTCAGCAGAGTTCGTTCTCAGCTTCAGTCTCCATCAGCCAAACTCCGGCAGGCCGAAAACCCTGTTCAGTTCTACGAGCGCTCCGTCTACTCAGACAGGTAACTGCACACACCTTAGACAGGTAACTGCACCATAGACAGGTAACTGCACACACCTTAGACAGGTAACTGCACACACCTTAGACAGGTAACTGCACACACCTTAGACAGGTAACTGCACCATAGACAGGTAACTGCACACACCTTAGACAGGTAACTGCACCATAGACAGGTAACTGCACCATAGACAGGTAACTGCACACACCTTAGACAGGTAACTGCACACACCTTAGACAGGTAACTGCACACACCTTAGACAGGTAACTGCACCATAGACAAGTAACTGCACCGTAGACAGGTAACTGCACACACCTTAGACAGGTAACTGCACCTTAGACAGGTAACTGCACACACCTTAGACAGGTAACTGCACCTTAGACAGGTAACTGCACCTTAGACAGGTAACTGCACCATAGACAGGTAACTGCACACACCTTAGACAGGTAACTGCACCATAGACAAGTAACTGCACCTTAGACAGGTAACTGCACACACCTTAGACAGGTAACTGCACCATAGACAAGTAACTGCACCTTAGACAGGTAACTGCACACACCTTAGACAGGTAACTGCACCATAGACAAGTAACTGCACCTTAGACAGGTAACTGCACACACCTTAGACAGGTAACTGCACCTTAGACAGGTAACTGCACCTTAGACAGGTAACTGCACCATAGACAGGTAACTGCACCGTAGACTGGTAACTGCACCTTAGACAGGTAACTGCACCGTAGACTGGTAACTGCACCACCTAGACAGGTAACTGCACCTTAGACAGGTAACTGCACCTTAGACAGGTAACTGCACCATAGACAGGTAACTGCACCTTAGACAGGTAACTGCACACACCTTAGACAGGTAACTGCACCTTAGACAGGTAACTGCACACACCTTAGACAGGTAACTGTAGTACTCAGTGTGTACTGTGTGTACAGTGTGTAGTACTCAGTGTGTAGTACTCAGTGTGTAGTACTCAGTGTGTACTGTGTGTACTGTGTGTACAGTGTGTAGTACTCAGTGTGTACTGTGTGTACTGTGTGTACAGTGTGTAGTACTCAGTGTGTACTGTGTGTACTGTGTGTACAGTGTGTAGTACTCAGTGTGTACTGTGTGTACAGTGTGTAGTACTCAGTGTGTACTGTGTGTACAGTGTGTAGTACTCAGTGTGTAGTACTCAGTGTGTACTGTGTGTACAGTGTGTAGTACTCAGTGTGTACGTACTCAGTGTGTACATGTGTGTACTGTGTGTACAGTGTGTAGTACTCAGTGTGTACTGTGTGTACAGTGTGTAGTACTCAGTGTGTAGTACTCAGTGTGTACTGTGTGTACAGTGTGTAGTACTCAGTGTGTAGTACTCAGTGTGTACTGTGTGTACTGTGTGTAGTGAGTACAGTGTGTAGTACCAGTGTGTAGTACTCAGTGTGTACTATTACTGTGTGTACTGTGTGTACAGGTACGTGTTTGCGTCCAACCTGTTTGAGAGCGGGAACCTGACAGAAACAGAGTGGAGTGTTTATGAGGACTGGCACACCTGGTTACTGAACCAGTTCCACCCCGACATCAACCTGGACGCCATCATCTACCTGAGAGCTCAGCCACAGGTACTGCTAATAATGCTAATAATGCTAATAATGCTAATAATGCTAATGCTAATAATGCTGTCAATACTGATACTACTGCTTTCAGTAGCGCTGCCTTCAGGCTCTCAGTGTTTGTCTGTATATTACAGCGCTGCCTTCAGGCTCTCAGTGTTTGTCTGTATATTACAGCGCTGTATGCAGCGTTTGCTCCATCGGGGCAGGGAGGAGGAGCAGGGCATCCCTCTGGAGTATCTGGAGCAGCTTCACTTTAAACATGAATCCTGGCTCTTCCACAGGAACCTCAGGTAACGCCACAGGGACGCACTGAGCACGCTCAGTCTGTCTCAGCAGGTCTTTGCTGTAGTTTATGGATATGTGATGATGCGTTCAGGCTCAATCTGTACATTAACTGTGTTCAGGTTGGACTTTGAGTACCTGAACAATGTTCCTGTTCTCATTCTGAACGTTGACGACGACTTCAAGAACGACCGGATCAAACAGGAAGTCCTCATCGACAAGGTTACATTTTATTATTAATACTGTTGTTGTTGTTGTTGTTGTTGTTATTTTCCTGTGTGGCTGCAGCTGACAGACACTGTGTAATGAATTCATCGTCAGTGTTTCACTTTGATGAGGAAACACGGCAGCGTGTTTTACCAAAGGACTCAAACATCACACAGATGTTAAACACACATTATATCATTTCTGCCACTAGGGGGCCTCCTCTCCAAAACAAACCTGTAACCTCTGACCCCTGACCTCTAACCCTCGACCCCTGACGCAGCGTTACCTGAATAAAGTGTCTGATGGAAACAACCTGCTGACGCTTCCTGTTTGATCTGATCTGGAGTCTGTTTCCTCCTGCAGGTCAGAGACTTTCTCACCACGCTGTAGATCTCATCCACCAATCACAGCTCAGGAAACGGACTCGTCTGATTGGACCACTCGTTACACTCTGTAAATGTTTCATTGAGTGTTTTTAACTCGTCAGCGACGTTTTAATGCAGAGAATCACTTTATCTGCAGTTTGTATATTTCTACGTGTGTGTGAGTGTGTGTGTGTGTGTGTGAGTGAGTGTGTGTGTGAGAGAGAGAGTTTGTGAGTGAGTGAGTGAGTGAGTGAGTGTGTGTGATGTATTTACTCAAATTACTTTGATATTTATGCTTCAGTGTTTATCACCTTCTCAGAGGTCAAATCACAGTTCCTGTTTGTCCTGACTGTCATTGAACATATCACGGTGCCTTCAAGGACAGATGTTTTTCTGTGAATCAGTTTGAATAAAGAACTTAACTCAACTTTATTCATACCGCACTTTTCATACAAACATGCAGCTCAAAGTGCTTCACAAAACAACAACAATAAATAAAATGTTAATAAATAATCCGAATCTTGTTTATTGCCAAGTTTTCACATATGAGGGATTTGCTTTGGTGAGTTGGTGCATAACAATTCATAGTTTTCAGTCACGTGACTAACACGGCGTTCCAACATGGCAACTTACACTGGAAACTGGAAGTGCAAAAGAATCATTTGAATCATTCATTTCATGAATATTTTTATCACCTCAAAAAAAAAGAAAAACGTGAACAAAAGTTTTCTATTTGAGCAGTTTTAAAGAGTTCGGTCTAGACCTGCTCTATTTGAAAAGTGTCCTGAGATAACTTCTGTTATGAATTGGTGACATACAAATAAAACTGAATTGAAAATTGAATTTGATGTTTACGAGAGAGAATCTGCTCCACACAGCGACGGGGCAGAAAGATTACATTTTATTGTGACCCAGTCCTCGTCCTCCTCCTCGAACAACGCTGATGAAGGATCCGGTGCTGCAGGTGGAGTCAGAGACAGTGAGCTGGTCCTGTAACAGAACTAGTCTACTAACAGGATCCTCGAGTAGGACAGAAGAACATCAGTTAGACTCAAACAAATGAAAAGATTCTGGAGGAGAGTTTGACGTGATGGTCTGGGGACGCTTTGGTTCTGGTACAGGAAGGAAGCCTCTCGGTCTACTGAGACCTGATGGAACCGGGCCGGTCCCACTGCTGCTGCAGGAAGAGAGGGAAGAGATTCCTGAAGGGTTCCTCGACAGAGTGACTAATACTAATACTGTAACTATATTTAGAGGGTTATTTATTATCAGAATCAGATATTATATATTATATTATTATTATTTATTATAACTATATATCTTATACAATATCAGTTATGATATATTATTTATATTAAACATGTTAAAGTGCTGCTGGAGGTCTGAGTGCTTTACATGATGTCACACACTGACAGCCAATCAGAGGACAGTCTGCGTCAGGTCACAGGGGAGGACGTCTGTGCTAACAGCTAACAATGATTGAAGAGTTTAACTTTGTTCTGTTAATGTTCAACATTAAAACATTTAAAGTTAGTTTGTCTGTTTCACAGTGACTCAACATCATGTTTCACACACAATAACACACACACACACACACACACACAATAATACACACACACATCCAGAACTCACCCACACCCGCTTCAGTGACCACATCACTCCTGTCCTCCAGAGCAGTTTATACACTGATATACTGATCACTGATATATTGATCAGCACTAACAGTATATACACTGATATATTGATCAGCAGTAACCCTGTGAGCACTGGACTCCCTGACTGGTCCCAGACCAGCAGACTGCTCTGCACTGTGTGTTCTGACCCCTTTCTATCAGAACCAGCATTAACTGTTTCAGCAGTTTGAGCTACAGTAGCTCGTCTGTTGGATCGGATCACACGGGCCAGCCTTCACTCCCCACCTGCATCAATGAGCCTCGGCCCACCATGACCCTGTCTCTGGTTCTGTTCCTTGGACCACTTTTGATAGGTACTGACCTCTGCAGACCGGGAACCCCCCACAAGAGCTGCAGGTTTGGAGATGTTCTGACCCAGTTGTCCATCACAATGTGGTTCTTGTCAAAGTGGATCAGATCCTCACGCTGCCCATTTTTCTGTTCACTGTCTGCCTGATATACCCCCCCCCACTGACAGGAGCCCTGATATACCCCATAAACCCCCATCAACCCTATAACCCCTGTAATCTTCACACTGTATTAACATTTTTTATGTTAAATGTATTTAGAATCTCGAGATATGAGGTTTCTCCTGCAGAGTGGAGATATGTAGTTTAATGAGTGACAAGTGAACATGGTGACCTTTGACCTCTGCAGGGTTCATGAATGTGTCACCTATCTGCTACAGGTAAATCAATCACCTGCTGATCAGTCACCTGACCTGCTGCTGACACACACAGACAAATGTAAACATGTTTTATACATAAATAAAGTTTAATATGTTTTACATTCAGTGTGTTAATGTGTTTTATATGTGGGAGGAAATTAAATATGTACATATATGTGTGTGTGTTTAACATGTATCTCTGTCATAATGTGTTTTATATATATTAGTCTTTATTTATGTATCTGTTCATGTGTTTTATATGTATTAGTCTTTATTTATGTATCTGCATCTGTCTGTCTGTCATTGTCGTGTTGTCGTGTCATGCGGAGCTGAAACCTGCTGAGACATTTGTTGACTGAAACTCAGTCGGATGAATTCCAGGAGGGAAAAACTTCAGAGACTCAGCGAGAATCGAGAACATGAAAACAAACTGAGAGGACCCGTTTTTAACAAGTCACACAACTCTGCAGGACCAGGTCTGGACCAGGTTTAGGACAGTTTGTGAAAGTCTGGAACACTTCAGATTCAGCACTTCCTGTTACTGCTTTCCAGTGAAGTGTGTGAGCATTTTATTGTGAAATACCGACAGGAAGTCCTGAGTGATGGTCAGCAGCTTCACTCAGTCTGGTTTCATTCAGGTTAGAAGTGTATTTCACTGAAACTGATCTCATTAAATCTTATGAATAACATGAGCAGGATCAATCAAATCTGTTAACATCAGTAAACAGATTGATTTATTGATTGATTATTGATCTTAAAAATCTGATTGAAGCTATTCCTCCCAGAGAGAGAGAGAGACAGACAGACAGACAGTGAGAGAGAGAGAGAGACAGACAGACAGACAGACAGACACAGACAGACAGAGAGAGAGAGACAGACAGAGAGAGAGAGACAGACAGACAGACAGACAGACACAGACAAGACAGATTACGCTCAACCATTAACTGAAAAACAAATTATTGTTAAGCCAAGAAAAACAGAGAGAGGGAGGGTGTCAGTTATATTACAAGTGTCTCTCAACCACTAAACAGACAGGAGAGACAGACAGGCAGACAGACAGACAGGAGAGAGACAGACATACAGAGAGAGAGAGAGTTAGTGCCGACTTTTCTTTTCTTCTTAAAGTCACTTAAAATTCATGTCTATTATCTGCTTCTACACACTGTTCTCTCTCTCCACTCGTCTCTCCGTCCATCCACCCATCTGTCCACCCCTCCAGTCGTCCATCAGCCTGCAGACTGTAAGTACGTTTCCACTGTTTCCACAGAAAATCCTCTTTTCATTCTCCTTTCATTCAGTTGCAGCAGCAGTAATCTTTTAAGAACTCTCACCAGACTCCATACAAATATTTCACCTTTTTAGAGTTCACTGTAAAGCCACTTCTGCAGTTCTGCTGTTATCATAAGATATTCAGCAGACTGCAGAACGAACAGGCAAATAACTGAGGTCGGGAATAGTCTGGAAAAGATCTGGAATAGTTTGGAATAGTGTGGAAAATATTTGGAATAGTTTGGAAAAGGTTTGGAATAGTTTGGAAAAGGTCTGGAATAGTCTGGAAAAGGTCTGGAATAGTTTGGAAAATATTTTTGGTTAGTTTGGTCGAGTTTTGGCAAGTTCACATTTGAAAAAATAAACTTTAATACAAATTCAATAATTTGTATCTGTTTGTTTTGTTCTCAGGTTCATTCTGCTGGAACTGAACTCAAACCCTGAAAACACATCTGTTTGTATTATTATTGTTGTTGTTGTTGTTGTTGTTGTTGTTGTCATTATTAAATGAACACTTGATGGAGGCGCTGAAAACATTAGCAGTCGGTTGTAGAAAATATTTTAAATGTTAAATTTAAACTTTTAAGATCAAACTGCGGAGATGGGCTTCGGTGAGCTGCTGGAGGAGGTGAGTGAGCGTCTGCTGTAATCTGATTACTGATTACTGTGAAGTTACTTCACCTGAACACACCGGTCAAGTAGAACAGGTATGTAACATGTTCCCTGTCCTGTTGCCATGGTGAGGTCGGAGGGTTTGGCAGGTACCAGTGGATCCACGTGACTCTGATCAGTTTACCTGGACTGATGATGGCGGGTCAGAACCTGCTCAACAACTTCGTCTCAGGAATCCCTGCCCACCACTGCAGCCTACCGGCCAATCACAGCCTCTACAACCTGTCCCACCACCAGGTAACACACCTGTCTGTCTGACACTGCCTGAATGAATGTGATTGGTTTGATTGATGGATGAATGTGATTGGTTTGATTGATGGAAGAATGTGATTGGTTTGGTTGATGGATGAATGTGATTGCTTTGATTGATAGAAGAATGTGATTGCTTTGGTTGATGGATAATGTGATTGCTTTGGTTGATGGATGAATGTGATTGGTTTGATTGATGGATGTATGTGTTTGGTTTGGTTGATGGATAATGTGATTGGTTTGATTGATGGATGAATGTGATTGGTTTGGTTGATGGATGAATGTGATTGGTTTGGTTGATGGATAATTCAATTCAATTTTATTTGTATAGTGTATGTTTATAATGTATAATTCATAACAGAAGTTATCTCAGGACCCTTTCCAAACAGAGCAGGTGTAGACCGAACTCCTTGTAACATTATTTACAGAGACCCAACAGTACCACCATGAGCAAGCACTTGGCGACAAGGGCAAGGAAAAACTGCCTGTTTAAAGGCAGAAACCTAGGACAGATCCTTCGGCTCTAGGTGGGTGGTCGTCTGTCTCGACCAGTTGGGGTGAAAGAGAGAGAGAGAGAGAGAGAGAGAGAGAGAGAGACAGAGATAGAGAGAGAGACAGACAGATAGACAGACAGGTGCACAGCAACAACAGTAGCAACAACTATACTAATAGTAGTGACTGATGATGATGAACATGACAACAGCAACGATGGGGGACAATGAGCAGTGACAACAGCAACAACAGTAAAAGTAGCTATAATAATACTTTATAATAATAATAACACTGATATCAGTGATATTGGCAAATGTAGTCAAGCAGGACCATGGCAGGAGGCTCCACCAGGATCCATGTGAACCTGTGAGACGACAAAACACAAGAACTCCGGGGAAGAAGTGAAGTTAGTAACATGCATTAATGGAACATGAATGAGTGCAGAAAGAGAGAGGAAGAGAGGAGCTCAGTGCACCATGGGAAATCCCCCGATAGTCTAGGCCTATAGCAGCATAACCAAGGGATGGTTCAGGACTGACCTGATCCAGCCCTAACTATAAGCTTTATCAAAGAGGAATGTCTTAAGCCTACTCTTGAATGTGGTGAGGGTGTCTGCCTCCCGAACCACAACTGGAAGCTGGTTCCACAGGAGAGGAGCTTGGTAACTGAAGGCTCTGACTCCTGTTCTACTTTTAGAGACTATAGGAACCACAAGTAGCCCAGCATTCAGAGAACATAGTGTTCTAGTGGGGTAATAGGGTACTATGAGCTCTTTAAGATATGAAGGGGCCTGACCATGAAGAGCTTTATAGGTGAGGAGGAGGATTTTAAATTCTATTCTACATTTTACAGGGAGCCAGTGCAGAGAAGCTAGTACAGGAGAGATGTGATCTCTTTTTCTAGTTCCTGTCATTACTCGTGCTGCAGCGTTTTGAATTAATTGGAGCGTTTTAATGGACTTATAGGGGCAGCCAGCCTAGAAGTAACAAATGCATGGATTAGTTTTTCTGCATCTGTCTGTGATAGGATGTGTCTAATTTTTGTAATATTACGTAAATGAAAGAAGGCGGTCCTAGAGGTCTGCTTTATGTGGGAATTAAATGACAAATCCTGATCAAAGATAACTCCAAGATTCCTGACAGTGGTGCTAGAGGCCAAGTTAATGCCATCTAGAGTAACTATATCTTTAGACAGTGAGTCTCTAAGATTTTTGGGGCCAAGTACAAGAATTTCATTTTTTTCTGAGTTTAACATCAGAAAATTGCAGGTCATCCAGGATTTTATGTCCTTAAGACATGTTTGTAATTTTGATAATTGATTAATTTCATCGGGCTTGATCGATAGATATAACTGCGTATCATCTGCATAACAGTGAAAGTTAATGGAGTGATTCCTGATAATGTTGCCTAAAGGGAGCATATATAAAGTAAATAGTATTGGTCCAAGTACAGAACCTTGTGGAACTCCATGACTAACTGTAGTATTTTTTGAAGATTCATCGTTAACATGTACAAACTGCGAACGATCTGATAAATATGACTTGAACCAGCTTAGTGCGGTTCCTTTAATTTGATGTCTCTGTCAAGTCTCTGTAAAAGAATATTATGGTCAATGGTGTCAAATGCAGCACTAAGATCTAATAATACAAGTACAGAGACAAGTCCATTGTCAGAAGCTATCAGAAGGTCATTATTAACTTTAACCAGAGCTGTCTCTGTGCTGTCATGAACTCTAAATCCTGACTGAAAATCCTCAAATAAACTATTTTTATGTAGAAAGTCACACAAGTCTTTGGCGACTACTTTCTCCAGAATCTTAGAGAGGAAGGGGAGGTGAGAAATCGGCCTATAGTTGGCTAAAACCCCTGGGTCAAGAGTGGGCTTTTTAAGAAGGGGTTTAATTACAGCTACTTTAAAGGACTGTGGTACATATCCTGATAACAAGGAAAGATTAATCATATACAGTAAAGAAGTGCCAATTAAGGGTACGACTTCTTTAAGCAGCCTAGTTGGGATCGGGTCTAATAGACAGGTTGATGGCTTTGATGTAGAAATTATTGAAGTTAACTGATGAAGATCAATAGCAGAAAAACAGTCTAAATATATATCTAAGTTTACATTAGCAAAAGTTCCTGAACTTGGAGAGCCACTGATAACTGTTGATGGCAGTTGGTGATTAATTTTCTCTCTAATAGTAATAATTTTATTATAGAAGAAGCTCATGAAGTCATTGCTACTTAAGTTTATGGGGATATGTGGTTCAATAGAGTTGTGACTCTCTGTCAGCCTGGCTACAGTGCTGAAGAGGAACCTAGGGTTATTCTTATTTTCTTCCATTAGTGGTGAGTAATAGGCTCCTCTGGCATTACGGAGGGCCTTTCTACAGGTTTTAAGATTATCTTGCCAAATTGAGCGATATTCTGATAATTTAGAAGAGCGCCATTTCCTTTCAGATTTCCTAGCTTTTTGTTTTAACTGGGGGTTTGGTGGTTGTACCACGGTGCTAGTTTCCTATGTTTTAATAATTTCCTTTTTATAGGAGTGATAGAATCTAATATTCTTCATGGTGAGCCTGCAGCACTATCAACAAGATTATCAATTTCGGAGGGACTAAAGTTATTATAGGACTCCAGCGCAGTAAATAAACTACTCTTAATACATGTACCATTATCAATAAAGGAGGCAGAGGAATAAGTAAACATCTGGCACACTGAGCAGGACAGAGCAGAGGGAGAGGAAGAAGCCATAGCTAACTGCTAATGTTACTGAAGCTAGTGTCAGTGAAAACTATAGCCAAAAAAATAGTCGCTAAAAGAAGGAGTAACTCCGAGTGCTTAGGTAGAACTAGTCTACGTTTAAATGTTAAGGGGGAAAATAACCGCTGTAACAAGTAAAACAAATTTAGATTTAGCGTTCACTGACAGAGCTACAGCACCAAACAGTGTACACAGAGCAGGAAGTAAACAGTCAGTACGCTTACCGTAGCACGTAAGACAACAGGTGCTGATGAGGGGTGAGAAGGGTGTGATTGGTTTGGTTGATGGATGAATGTGATTGGTTGTTTCAGGTGGATGAGAAGCAGTTGTTGAGAGCTTTCATCCCTCTGGACTCTTCAGGAAATAAACTGGACCGCTGCAGGAGGTAAATGTTGTTTTTTTGTGTATTTCTGTTCAATGCTGCATTGTATTGATTGGTTGACATTTCCTCTGACATTACTATCTGTTCCACTTGTTGTTCAGGTTTGTGGAGCCTCAGTGGCACCTGTTAGCTGCTAACAGCTCAACTAACGTTAGCCAAATACAGACAGAAGGATGTTTGGACGGATGGACGTTTGACCGCTCTGAGTTCCTTGCCACCACCGTCTCCGAGGTAATGAGAAAACTGATCACTGATACTAATCAACATCGAGGCTGATGATTATTAATGAGGTTAGAGAGGTGATATTCGTTAGCACAAAGTTATTTTGATCCTGTAGCAGGTTATATTGATCCTTTAGGAGGTTGTATTGATCCTTTAGCAGGTTATATTGATCCTTTAGGAGGTTGTATTGATCCTTTAGCAGGTTATATTGATCCTTTAGGAGGTTGTATTGATCCTTTAGCAGGTTATATTGATCCTTTAGCAGGTTATATTGATCCTTTAGGAGGTTGTATTGATCCTTTAGCAGGTTGTATTGATCCTTTTGGAGGTTGTATTGATCCTTTAGCAGGTTGTATTGATCCTTTAGGAGGTTGTATTGATCCTTTAGCAGGTTGTATTGATCCTTTTGAAGGTTGTATTGATCCTTTAGCAGGTTGTATTGATCCTTTTGGAGGTTGTATTGATCCTTTAGCAGGTTATATTGGTCCTTTAGGAGTGTATTGATCCTTTAGGATCATTTCGGAGGTTGTATTGATCCTTTGGGGGGTTGTATTGATCCTTTAGGAGGTTGTATTGATCCTTTAAGATCATTTAGGAGGTTGTAGTGATCCTTAAGGAGGTTGTATTGATCCTTTAGGAGGTTGTATTGATCCTTTAGGATCATTTAGGAGGTTGTAGTGATCCTTTAGGAGGTTGTTTTGATCCTTTAGGAGGTTGTTTTGATCCTTTAGGAGGTTGTATTGATCCTTTAGGATCATTTAGGAGGTTGTAGTGATCCTTTAGGAGGTTGTATTGATCCTTTAGTAGGTTGTAGTGATCCTTTAGGAGGTTGTATTGATCCTTTAGGAGGTTGTATTGATCCTTTAGGAGGTTGTATTGATCCTTTAGGAGGTTGTAGTGATCCTTTAGGAGGTTGTATTGATCCTTTAGGAGGTTGTAGTGATCCTTTAGGAGGTTGTATTGATCCTTTAGTAGGTTGTAGTGATCCTTTAGTAGGTTGTAGTGATCCTTTAGTAGGTTGTAATTATCCTTTAGGGTCATTAAGGAGGTTGTAGTGATCCATTAGGAGGTTGTATTGACCAGACATAGATTGATCTCTCTCCCTGTCTTTCTCACTGAATCTGTCTCTCTTTCAGTGGGAACTGGTGTGTTCTCTGCGTCCTCTGAAACAGATGATTCAGACAATCTATATGGGTGGAGTTTTAACAGGGGCCATCATTTATGGTGGTCTGTCAGACAGGTGAGACCACTACAAAGCTATAAACAAGCTCTATGTTTTATTAATCTATGAATGTTTATGATTCTCTGTCAAACCTGTGCACCTTCTCTCTTTCTCTCTCTCTCTCTCTCTCTCTGCCTGTCTCTCTCTCTCTTTCTTTCAATCTCTGTCTCTCTCTCTCTCTATCTCTGTCTCTCTCTCTCTATCTGCCTGTCTCTCTCTCTCTGTCTGTCTCTCTGTCTGTCTCTCTCTCTCTCTCTCTCTCTCTCTCTCTCTCTCTTCCTCTCTCTGTCTCTCTCTCTCAGGTTTGGGAGGCGGTCTGTCCTTACTTGGTCATACTTACAGCTGGCTGTGCTCGGTTGTAGCTCGGCCCTCTCTCCTTCATACACTGCCTACTGCGTTTTTAGGTTTCTGAGTGGGATGGCAGTTTCTGGAGTAATCCTGAATGGAGTCTCACTGAGTACCTGTCTACCTGTCTACCTGTCTGTTTGAGAATGCAGTTCAGGCTTTAACATTTGTTGTTTTATTGACTCTCTGTGGAAACATACTGATGTGTACCTGTCCATCTGTCTACCTGTCTGCCTCCAGAGGTGGAGTGGATCCCGACTAAAGAGAGGACGTTAGTGGGCACGCTTACCTCCTTCTTCTTCACATTTGGTCAGATGATTTTGGCGGGGCTTGCCTATTGGCTGAGAGACTGGAGGAAGCTGCAGCTAGTCATCTGTGCCCCCCAGTTCCTGTTCTTTGCCTACAGCTGGTCAGACTTTCAAAATGAATGTCTCTAATCATTTTGCTCTCTGATTGGCCAGGACATTCTAATCTTCCCACTCTCTGATTGGACAGGTGGTTCTCAGAGTCGGCTCGTTGGTTGGTTCTGAACCGTCGGTCTGAGGATGCGCTAAAGACTCTTCACAGAGTCGCTCGGATCAATGGAAAATCAGAGATAATCGACAAGTTAACACTGGAGGTAACCTGTCTGTATTTCTGAATACCTGTCTGTCTGTCACATATATACAGATGTGTGACATCTGATCAGAAGCTGAGTCAAATCAAGTCAACTTGGGTGCCCGGTTAGCTCAGTCGGTAGAGCCGGCAAATCTGACCTGTGGCCCTTTGCTGCTTGTCATCCCCTCTCTCTCTGCCCCCCTTTCCTGTCTATCTTCAGCTGTCACCATCAATAAAGGCAATAAAAGGCCCAAAAAAATAACGAGTCAACTTTATTTATATAGCCCAATGTCACAAGCTTACCTCAGAGGACATACGACAATACAACCGCCACAATTCAGGGTAGGTAAAACTAAAAAACTGTAAAAAGTGAAAGAACCCTCAGAAGTCAGGTATCACGTCCTGAGGTCTGAGGTGCCAAAGGATGAGCACTAATTGAAAGTTTAGGGTTAAGATGAGTATTCAATTAAAAAGCCTCAACAGAGACAGATTTCTGGTGTCAACAGGGAGATTATTTCAGAGAAATCTGATCCTTTTTTATTTATTTTTAGGGTTCTAGCAGCAACCGCAAGGATTATAATTCTTTGTCCAAATTAAAAGCATTTTTGGTGGCTGCAACATTCTCCAAAACTTTATTTAAATTTACGTGTCATATGGGTCTCACACATGGGTGTGGCAAAATGGCTCAACAGCGCCCTCTAAATGGCAGACCCTAAAGCACGTTTCACTGAAGTGCTTGAAAACTTGTCGGCACATGTATCAGGTCAAGACAAACAAAAAAGCCTTTTGGATCCAACCCCCAAACACAATAGGCAGTTGTCCATTTTAAATGTATTGCTGATTTATTCTTCCTAGGGAAATCATCGAATTGACTTCAGATTTGGTCTAAAGACCATTCCGGTTTAAAGCTAATTAAGTTTTTGTCAAACAGCATGTCCTTGGTGTGGCACCAAAGTTAGGTCTTTTGTCAGTAACCAAAAATTTCCCACCAAGGATCAATAAAGTATTTCTGATTCTGATTCAGTTTCTGAAGAAACAGGAAGTTGTTGTATTTTATCCAATCTGCACCAAAATGACTATATTGAAGAGTTCCGCCCTGAACACATCTACAGGCCAATATTCAGTCATACTTGTAGTGCCACCTATTGGCAGCAAGTTGTAAGCCTGACATTTTCACGGCTTTATCTTTGAATGATATGCTGGTGCACCAACTGCTTGGGCCCATTTATTTTTTATCATGACTTGTTATATATTTTTACAAATAATTTCAGCTCAACATAATCCTGTAAAAATAATCCCAGTAATTGTCTGTTTCCTGTTTGTTCTTATGAGCAGCATGAGCATTAGTGTAGCTGGATGTGGAGGCTTGATTTAGAAATAATTTGGTTCCAACCATGTTTCACAGAAATCAATCACCTCCAGATTACACTAAAAACATAATTTACCAGAAAATAATCTGATATTTATGTATTATTTTTTTCCAATAATCGATTACTAATAAGGCTACTAATAGATGATTTTATTATTAGTATGAGGTTTTGGAGACACTGAAGCCATGTGTGGCTCTGTGAGACTTTATGAAGTGCTTTCTGAGAGATTTGACTACCAGAGGTGATGATGAGATTATTATGATCAATAATTTATGAATAACGGAAGGAAACAGTCTCAATGGTCAAACTGATCAGTTTGATAATCAATACTTCCCTGGATGGACATAAAAACTAAGATATTGGAACCTCTCTTTGATCACCTGTCTACCTGTCGACTGTCACATCAGTACCATGTGATCTGCAGGTTCTGCACTCTCACATGAAAAAGGAGATTGAGTCCAGTCGTTCGTCATTCACAGCGTACGATCTGCTGAGGACCAGAGGGATGAGACGGATCTCCATCTGTCTGATTGCCGTCTGGTCAGAACACCTGTGTTCACCTTTACCTGCTTCACTTTTATTAATTTACGTTATTTATTCAGACTCATTCTTTTCATTTTTGTCTGTCCACCTGTCTGTCAACCTGCCTACCTTTCCATCTGTCTACCTGTCTACCTGTCTACCTGTTCACCTGTCTACCTATCATCCTCTCCAGGTTCTCCACCAGTTTTGCCTACTACGGTTTGGCGATGGACCTGCAGAAGTTTGGGGTGAGTCACCTGATTAGCATTAATGCTACATGTAAGCTAACAACTAGTGACAACTTCCTGTACAGCTTACTCACCTCTGACTCACCTCATGTTGGATAAAAGATCGAAAAGTTACCATGGTTACGACTTTTATGTGTTTGTAATGTTGAATGAAATGAACAGCTGGGAACAATAGTAGAAAACCTGTTTTCCTGACTACCTTTTTACCTGTCTATCTGTTTACTTGTCTACCTGTCTACCTGTTTACCTGACTATACTTGTTTTATGTAGAGGACTTGTTCTCATTGGTTTAAACACTTCCTCTCCTCCTATTGGATCTTGGTTGTTCCAGGTGAGTATCTACCTGATGCAGATCATCTTTGGAGCCGTTGATTTTCCTGCCAAGCTGTTGGCTCTGAGCATGCTCAGTTACCTGGGGAGGAGAGTCTCTCAGGCGACTTGTCTCTTCCTGTCAGCCCTTATCATCTTTGCCAACATCTTTGTCCCCTCAGGTAACCAACACACACATCTGACACACACACAAACACACACAAACACACACACACACACACACACACACACACACACACACACACACAGAGTTAACAAACACACACATCTGATACACACACACACATACACACACACACACAGGTAACAAACACACACACCTGATACACACACACACCTGAGGACACCGGAGAACCCGGTTTAAGGCTGTAACACCTGTAGTTCAGCTTCAAACAACTCAGCGCTCTCCTCTACTCCCACAATGCACCTGGAGTTTCAGTCCCACAGCTGACTGCTGTTCTTGTGAATCCCCCACAGACATGCAGACCATCAGGACCACGTTGGCGTGTCTTGGTAAAGGTTTCACCTCGGCCTCCTTCACCACCGTTTACCTGTACACTGGAGAGCTCTACCCCACCATCATCAGGTGAGACTCCTGCTTCAGTGCAGGATGGAAAGTGGAAGGATAAAACACTTGAAAATATTTGAAGCTGGACTAACTGTCATTGCTGGGACAGATACTAGAGATACAAGAGACTTATTGATTGTGACTTCATGAAGACTTTATGTTTCCACACTGAACAACTCAAAGGATGTATTTTTGTAAAGCTGAAGGTACACCATTGGTCAGATGTGTGTCCACATCAGCAGCAGAGTCAACGACCCTGAATTTTACGTCTTGTTTAGGCTCAAGTGGGACATAAACAATATTTTATGATGGAGATGTATAGCTGTGTATCATCAGCATACAGACAAACATTTGTGGTTTGACCACATACAGGCTGTCCCAGATAAACCAATACCTGGTCCTAGCACACCCGTCGCTATGGGCGGGCCATACGGGGCCTGGCCCGCCCCTAAAAATGCTTGTGCCCTCCCACTTGAGGCACAGATCTCTTAAAAAAAATTATCATAGTAGCTAAATTTGTGTTGAGACATACTAATGTTGCATTCTTTATCATTAAAACATAAAAAATATAAAGAAACAATGGAGTGATTTTGTTTGATTGATGGGAATCTACACTGCAACAGCCTATCACGGCCTTACTGAAAAGAAAGTTAGGCTACGTACGTATCTAGCCGCTCAACAGTTACCGAGCATTTGAAGCTGAATGAGTTTTCGCCGTTTTACTATTTCATTTCTAGTTCATCATGGATATTTGTAAGTGGTTGAAAAGCCCACCAACAGTCTCCTCTGCCAAATCGGATACAACACAGACTCCTCCTGATGTTGTTGTTGGAGAAGGAGACCCTGGACAACATACCAGCCCACAAATACAACACGAGATTAACGTAAATGATGAGCAAACTTGTGACAGAGGAGATAGTGAGACAAGTCGGCGATAGCTGGTATTCAATTAAAGTGGATGGCACATGGGATCCTTTAGGCCAAGAAAATATATCTGTAGTTGTGCGTTTTGTTGACGAAAACTATGGTGTGTGTGAGCTTGGTAATGGCCACATATGAGAAAGGTGATGCAGAGGCTCTGACAGGTGTCATCATTGATGAGCTCACCAGCACCGGACTCAACACGGACAAAGTCCTGAGTCAGGTTTATGATGGCGCACATTTCATGTCTGGCAGGCATGGTGGTGTGCAGAAATTTCTCCAAAACAAGCTGGATCATAACATACCATATATTCATTGCTTTAATCACCAACTTCATCTGGTTGTGATTCATGCCATGTCCAGTGAAGCAGCTGTTAAGGATTTGGAGTATGCATACACCCAAAGTCTCTGTGCGTGTGTATGTGTGTGTCCCTCTGTTGACTGCTTTAAAATGCAATGTTTGAGAGATGCTTCTGGTGTTAAATCTAATATGTTGTATAGTCAAGTGTTTTATGGATATTCATAACATTGCTTCTATGTAATGTATTGCTTTAAATTATGAGGACGGATGTTGTAGGCTATACCTGGTCATATTGAATTTAATTTCAATTCAATTTTATTTGTATAGCGCCAATTCGTAACAGAAGTCATCTCAGGACACTTTTCAAATACAGTAGGTCTAGACCGAACTCTTTAAAACATTATTTACAGAGACCCAACAGTACCACCATGAGCAAGCACTTGGCGACAAGGGCAAGGAAAAACTGCCTGTTAAAAGGCAGAAACCTAGGACAGATCCTTCGGCTCTAGGTGGGTGGTCGTCTGCCTCGACCAGTTGGGGTGAAAGAGAGAGAGAGAGAGAGAGAGAGAGAGAGAGAGAGAGAGAGAGACAGACAGGTGCACAGCAACAACAGTATTGGCAGTGGCAATCCAGCAGGACCATGGCAGGAGGCTCCACCAGGATCGATAAGAACCTGCAAGACGAGAAAGCACAAGAACTCCGGGGAAGAAGTGAAGTTAGTGACATGCATTAATGGGACATGAATGAGTGCAGAAAGAGAGAGGAAGAGAGGAGCTCAGTGCACCATTGGAAATCCCCCGATAGTCTAGGCCTATAGCAGCATAACTAAGGGATAGTTCAGGACTCACCTGATCCAGCCCTAACTATAAGCTTTATCAAAGAGGAATGTCTTAAGCCTACTCTTAAATGTGGTGAGGGTGTCTGCCTCCCGAACCACAACTGGAAGCTGGTTCCACAGGAGAGGAGCTTGGTAACTGAAGGCTCCGGCTCCTGTTCTACTTTTAGAGACTATAGGAACCACAAGTAGCCCAGCATTCAGAGAACGTAGTGTTCTAGAGGGGTAATAGGGTACTATGAGCTCTTTAAGATATGAAGGGGCCTGACCATGAAGAGCTTTATAGGTGAGGAGGAGGATTTTAAATTCTATTCTACATTTTACAGGGAGCCAATGCAGAGAAGCTAGTACAGGAGAGATGTGATCTCTTTTTCTAGTTCCTGTCAGTACTCGTGCTGCAGCGTTCTGAATTAATTGGAGCGTTTTAATGGACTTATTGGGGCAACCTGATAATAAAGAGTTGCAGTAATCCAGCCTTGAAGTAACAAATGCATGGATTAGTTTTTCTGCATCTGTCTGTGATAGGATGTGTCTAATTTTTGTAATATTACGTAAATGAAAGAAGGCAGTTCTAGAGGTCTGCTTCATGTGGGAGTTGAAAGACAAATCCTGATCAAAGATAACTCCAAGATTCCTGACAGTGGTGCTAGAGGCCAAGGTAATGCCATCTAGGGTATCTATATCTTTAGACAGTGAGTCTCTAAGGTTTTTGGGGCCAAGAACAAGAATTTCTTTTTTTTCTGAGTTTAACATAAGAAAATTGCAGGTCATCCAGGATTTTATGTCCTTAAGACATGTTTGTAATTTAGATAATTGATTAATTTCATCGGGCTTGATCGATAGATATAACTGCGTATCATCTGCATAACAGTGAAAGTTAATGGAGTGATTCCTAATAATGTTGCCTAAAGGGAGCATATATATAGTAAATAGTATTGGTCCAAGTACAGAACCTTGTGGAACTCCATGACTAACTGTAGTATTTTTTGAAGATTCATCGTTAACATGTACAAACTGCGAAAGATCTGATAAATATGACTTAAACCAGCTTAGTGCGGTTCCTTTAATGCCAATTTGATGCTCAAGTCTCTGTAAAAGAATATTATGGTCAATGGTGTCAAATGCAGCACTAAGATCTAATAACACAAGTACAGAGACAAGTCCATTGTCAGAAGCAATCAGAAGGTCATTATTAACTTTAACCAGAGCTGTCTCTGTGCTGTGATGAACTCTAAATCTTGGCTGAAAATCCTCAAATAAACTATTGTTATGTAGAAAGTCACACAACTCTTTGGCGACTACCTTCTCCAGAATCTTAGAGAGGAAGGGGAGGTTAGAGATTGGTCTATAGTTGGCTAAAACCCCTGGGTCAAGAGTGGGCTTTTTAAGAAGGGGTTTAATTACAGCTGCTTTAAAGGACTGTGGTACATATCCTGATAATAAAGAAAGATTAATCATATCCAGTAAAGAAGTGCCAATTAAGGGAACAACTTCTTTAAGCAGCCTAGTTGGGATCGGGTCTAATAGACAGGTTGATGGCTTTGATGAAGAAATGATTGAAGTTAACTGATGAAGATCGATAGCAGAAAAACAGTCTAAATATATATCTAAGTTTACATTAGCAAAAGTCCCTGAACTTGGAGAGCCACTGATAACTGTTGATGGCAGTTGGTGATTAATTTTCTCTCTAATAGTAATAATTTTATTATAGAAGAAGCTCATGAAGTCGTTGCTACTTAAGTTTATGGGGATATGTGGCTCAATAGAGCTGTGAATCTCTGTCAGCCTGGCTTCAGTGCTGAAGAGGAACCTAAGGTTATTCTTATTTTCTTCTATTAGTGTTGAGTAATAGGCTCCTCTGGCATTACGGAGGGCCTTTCTATAGGTTTTAAGATTATCTTGCCAAATTGAGCGATATTCTGATAATTTGGAAGAGCGCCATTTCCTTTCGGATTTCCTAGCTATTTGCTTTTAACTGGCGGGTTTGGTGGTTATACCACGGTGCTAGTCTCCTATGTTTTAATAATTTCCTTTTTATAGGAGCGATAGAGTCTAATGTTCTTCGTAGTGAGCCTGTAGCACTATCAACAAGATTATCAATTTCAGAGGGACTAAAGTCGTTATAGGATTCTGTTAAATTCAGACATGGCATTGAATTAAACACTGAAGGAATCTCCTCCTTAAATTTAGCTACAGCACTGTCAGATAGACATCTGCTGTAGGAAGTTTTGCCTAATGGCTTATAATCTAATAATAGAAATTCAAAAGTTATTAAATAATGCTCAGATAGGAAAGGATTATGTGGGAAGACTATTAAATGTTCAATATCAATGCCATATGAAAGAACGAGGTCAAGAGTGTGATTAAAACAATGAGTTGGTTTATTTACACTCTGACATAACCATGTTGTTGTTGGTTATGTTTAATGTGATGATTACATGCTGCGCAAATAGAGTATAGGATTAAAAAAAATATACGTACTGTAGGCTAATAATAATTGTGTCCTCCCAGGCATTTCATATGCCCCCCTTAAGACTGAGGTCTTGGTCCTAGTCCACTGGAGTCTATTAATAAGATTGTTAATATTAATATGAGAAGGAAGACAAACTCAAATTTTAACATAGTTTCTTTCAGGACCTCCATCAGTTGTAGTGTTTTTGTTGTTGTTGTTGTTGTTGTTGTTGTTGTTGTTGTCAAGATGTAAATACAGAGAATTCAAACTATTGATGATTCCGTTTCTTGATAATAATGTGATATTTAATCAGATAATCTATTTATGTGTGAGTATTGATCTCATATTAGAGAAAAAATTAATCACCAACTGCCATCAATAGTTACCAGTGGCTCTCCAAGTTCAGGGACTTCTGTCAATGTAAACTTACATATATATTTAGACTGTTTTTCTGCTATCGATCTTCATCAGTTAACTTCAATCATTTCTTCATCAAAGCCATCAACCTGTCTATTAGACCCGATCCCAACTAGGCTGCTTAAAGAAGTTGTTCCCTTAATTGGCACTTCTTTACTGGATATGATTAATCTTTCTTTATTATCAGGATATGTACCACAGTCCTTTAAAGCAGCTGTAATTAAACCCCTTCTTAAAAAGTCCACTCTTGACCCAGGGGTTTTAGCCAACTATAGACCGATTTCTAACTCCCCTTCCTCTCTAAGATTCTGGAGAAGGTAGTCGCCAAAGAGTTGTGTGAATTTCTACATAACAATAGTTTATTTGAGGATTTTCAGCCAAGATTTAGAGTTCATCACAGCACAGAAACAGCTCTGGTTAAAGTTAATAATGACCTTCTGACTGCTTCTGACAATGGACTTGTCTCTGTACTTGTATTATTAGATCTTAGTGCTGCATTTGACACCATTGACCATAATATTCTTTTGGAGAGACTTGAGCATCAAATTGGCATTAAAGGAACCGCACTAAACTGGTTTAAGTCATATTTATCAGATTGCTCGCACTTTGTACATGTTAACGATGAATCTTCAATAAATACTACAGTTAGTCATGGAGTTCCACAAGATTCTGTACTTGGACCAATACTATTTACTTTATATATGCTCCCTTTAGGCAACATTATTAGGAATCACTCCATTAACTTTCACTGTTATGCAGATGATACGCAGTTATATCTATCAATCAAGCCCAATGAAATTAATCAATTATCTAAATTACAAACATGTCTTAAGGACATAAAATCCTGGATGACCTGCAATTTTCTGATGTTAAACTCAGAAAAAACCTAAATTCTTGTTCTTGGCCCCAAAAACCTTAGAGACTCACTTTCTAAAGATATAGTTACTCTAGATGGCATTAACTTGGCCTCTAGCACCACTGTCAGGAATCTTGGAGTTATCTTTGATCAGGATTTGTCATTTAACTCCCACATAAAGCAGACCTCTAGGACTGCCTTCTTTCATTTACGTAATATTAGAAAAATTAGCCATCCTATCACAGACAGATGCAGAAAAACTAATTCATGCATTTGTTACTTCAAGGTTGGATTACTGCAACTCTTTATTATCAGGTTGCCCCAATAAGTCCATTAAAACGCTCCAATTAATTCAGAACGCTGCAGCACGAGTACTGACAGGAACTAGAAAAAGAGATCACATCTCTCCTGTACTAGCTTCTCTGCATTGGCTCCCTGTAAAATGTAGAATAGAATTTAAAATCCTCCTCCTCACCTATAAAGCTCTTCATGGTCAGGCCCCTTCATATCTTAAAGAGCTCATAGTACCCTATTACCCCTCTAGAACACTACGTTCTCTGAATGCTGGGCTACTTGTGGTTCCTATAGTCTCTAAAAGTAGAACAGGAGCCAGAGCCTTCAGTTACCAAGCTCCCCTCTTGTGGAACCAGCTTCCATTTGTGGTTCGGGAGGCAGACACCCTCACCACATTCAAGAGTAGGCTTAAGACATTCCTCTTTGATAAAGCTTATAGTTAGGGCTGGATCAGGTGAGTCCTGAACCATCCCTTAGTTATGCTGCTATAGGCCTAGACTATCAGGGGATTTCCCATGGTGCACTGAGCTCCTCCCTTCCTCTCTCTTTCTGCACTCATTCATGTCCCATTAATGCATGTTACTAACTTCACTTCTTCCCCGGAGTTCTTGTTCTTTCTCGTCTCGCAGGTTCTTGTCGATCCTGGTGGAGCCTCCTGCCATGGTCCTGCTAGATTGCCATTGCCAATACTGTTGTTGCTGTCCACCTGTCTGTCTGTCTCTCGCTCTCTCTCTCTCTGCCTCTCTCTCTCTCTCTCTCTCTCTCTCACCCCAACTGGTCGAGACAGACGACCACCCACCTAGAGCCGGAGGATCTGTCCTAGGTTTCTGCCTTTTAACAGGCAGTTTTTCCTTGCCCTTGTCGCCAAGTGCTTGCTCATGGTGGTACTGTTGGGTCTCTGTAATTAATGTTTTAAAGAGTTCGGTCTAGACCTGCTCTATTTGAAAAGTGTCCTGAGATAACTTCTGTTATGAATTGGCGCTATACAAATAAAATTGAATTGAAAATTGAACTGAATGATGTGTGTTGTGTTTTCAGGCAGACAGGAATGGGCTTCGTCTCCACCATGGCGAGAGTCGGCAGCATGGCTGCCCCCGCAGTCCTCATCCTGGATGAGGTGAAATCACTTATCCAAACCTTGTTAAGAAACCAAAACATTCAATAATTAATTTTCGTCATAGATCAATATAAATGCAGTGAACAGTAAGGTGAAGATCCATCAAAGAATGAATACATGAAAACAAGACTGATGTCCAGATTTAGGGACTGAGGTCCAGCTGTAGTGTTGGGGGTTGTGGACAGCATATGTTTTAATTTCCAGAGCTGCAGCTGCTATTTAATGCATTTTAATTAATTTGTATTATAATATTATTATTTAGTTTCTGTATTTTGCTTTTCTCAGTATGAATTCAGTCTGTGACACGACAAATAGACAAAATGAACTGAATAACTGACCAACTGACTAACTAACTGAATAACTGATTAACTGACTAATTTTTTCATTTACGTAATATTACAAAGATTAGACACATCCTATCACAGGCAGATGCAGAAAAACTAATCCATGCATTTGATACTTCAAGGCTGGATTACTGCAACTCTTTATTATCAGGTTGCCCCTATAAGTCCATTAAAACGCTCCAATTAATTCAGAACGCTGCAGCACGAGTACTGACAGGAGCTAGAAAAAGAGATCACATCTCTCCTGTACTAGCTTCTCTGCACTGGCTCCCTGTAAAATGTAGAATAGAATTTAAAATCCTCCTCCTCGCCTATAAAGCTCTTCATGGTCAGGCCCCTTCATATCTTAAAGAGCTCATAGTACCCTATTACCCCTCTAGAACACTACGTTCTCTGAATGCTGGGCTACTTGTGGTTCCTATAGTCTCTAAAAGTAGAACAGGAGCCAGAGCCTTCAGTTACCAAGCTCCTCTCCTGTGGAACCAGCTTCCAGTTGTGGTTCGGGAGGCAGACACCCTCACCACATTCAAGAGTAGGCTTAAGACATTCCTCTTTGATAAAGCTTATAGTTAGGGCTGGATCAGGTGAGTCCTGAACCATCCCTTAGTTATGCTGCTATAGGCCTAGACTATCGGGGGATTTCCCATGGTGCACTGAGCTCCTCCCTTCCTCTCTCTTTCTGCACTCATTCATGTCCCATTAATGCATGTTACTAACTTCACTTCTTCCCCGGAGTTCTTGTGCTTTCTCATCTTGCAGGTTCTTATTGATCCTGGTTATTTTCTTCTGTTAGTGCTCTATTAGTAGATAATCATGCCAAATTGAGCGATATTCTAATAATTTAGAAGAGCGCCATTTCCTTTCCGACTTCCTTGTTTTTTCCTTTAATTGGCGGGTTTGGTGGTTGTACCAAGGTGCTAGTTTCCTAGGTTTTAATATTTTCCTTTTTTACACAGAAGCGCAATCATAACGTATCCGGACACCAAAAGAGCGGTAGAGCCAACATTAAACAGAGACCCAACAGACCACCGAGCAGCACGGCACAAGGGCAGGAAACGCCTAAACGCGGCAGATCCTCCGGCAGGGGGGGCTGCACCAGTGGGGGGGGGGGGGGGGGGGGCACAACAGACAGACAGGTGCACACAACAACAGATGGCAATGGCAGTCAAGCAGGACCAGGCAGGAGGCCCACCAGGATCCAGAAACCCACAAGCACAAAACTCCGGAGAGTGGGTAGTAACATGCATTAAAGGGACAGAACGACAAAGAGGACCAGTCACCAGGAAATCCCCGATAGTCAGGCCTAAGCACAAACTAAGGGATGGTTCAGGACTCACCGATCCAGCCCAACAAAGCTTACAAAGAGGATGTCAAGCCACCTAAAGTGGTGAGGGTGCGCCCCCAACCACAACGGAAGCGGTTCCACAGGAGAGGGCTGGACTGAAGGCCGGCCCGTTCACTTAGAACTATAGGAACCACAAGTAGCCCAGCATCAGAACGTAGTGTCAGGGGGAATAGGGTACTAGAGCTCTTAAGAAGAAGGGGCCGACCAGAAACTTAAGGGAGGAGGAGTATTTAAATTCAATTCTACATTTTATAGGAGCCAATGCAGAGACTAGTACAGGAGAGATGTGATCTCTTTTCAGTTCCTGTCAGTACCGTGCCAGCGTTCTGAATAAGGGCGTTTAATGGACTTATTGGGGCAACCTGATAATAAAGGTTGCAGTAATCCAGCCTGAAGTAACAAATCATGGATAGTTTTCTGCTCGCTGTGATAGTATGTGTCTAATTTTCTAATATTACGTAAATGAAAGAAGGCAGTCCTAGAGGTCTGCTTTATGTGGGATTAAAACAAATCCGATCAAAGATAACTCCAAGATTCCTGACAGTGGTGCTAGAGGCCAAGTAAGCCATCTAGAGTACTAACTGACAATGAGTCTCTAAGGTTTTGGGGCCAAGAACAAGAATTTCGGTTTCGAGTTAAATAGGAGTAATAGAGTCTAATGTTGACTGTAGTGAGCCTGCAGCCCTATCAACAAGATTATCAATTTCGGAGGGATTAAAGTTGTGATATTCAGACATGGCATTGAATTAAACACTGATGGAATCTCCTCCTTAAATTTAGCTACAGCACTGTCAGATAGACATCTGCTGTAGGAAGTTTTGCCTAATGGCTTATAATCTAATAGTATGAATTCAAAAGTTATTAAATAATGGTCAGATAGGAAAGGATTATGTGGGAAGACTATTAAATGTTCAATATCAATGCCATATGATAAAACAAGGTCAAGAGTGTGATTAAAATTAACTAAACAACTGACTTACTTTGTGTTATTTTATATGGATTATGTTTTTATGTTCATTCTATTTGCATCTTATTTGTATCTTTCTTACAACAATCATGCTAAGTAATGCTAACAGTACTGATGGACTACATTTCCCAGGTACTCCCTGCTCTGCCCAGTGTGGTGTATGGGGGGGCGGCGGTGTTGGCAGGCTGCTTCGCCTGCTTCCTGCCGGAGACGCTGAACATGCCACTGCCCGACACCATCGAGGATGTGGAGAACAAATGGTGAGCTGAGGGATAGCAGTTTGCTTTATTAGCAGTATTAGCTTAGCACTATAATATCACAGAGTGATGCTAATACTAAGCTGAGCTAGTAACACTGCTGATTATTGTCAACCTTATCAATAAAAAAATATCAATAACTGAAGATTGTTTGTTTGAAGGTCTGGAAGAAGTCCCACCCCCCCACAACAAGAAAGCGTGTCATTGAATGAGGGTGGGGCTTTGGGGCATGTGGGCGTGGTCATGACCGAAGGCGTGGCTTTAAAAGAGATGAAGGATTCAGAAGGGACCGGACTCAACGCGCTCTGACCAATCAGACGACACCAGTCACACTGAACCCCCACCAATCGGACAGCTGGACTCATTAATGACAAGATAAATGAACCAATGAGAATCAAAGAGTGATACGTTTCAGTGTAAAAGTACAAAGAAAATTTCACAATTTAAACATTGAAATCTATTTTAAATGAGTTTAAATCAATTAAGTCAGATGTTTGATTATGTATTGATTAGATAATAATAAAGCCACAACAGTGATGAAACAACAGCTGCTGTCATCAATTAAGATAAATCAGTCATCACTAATAAAACCGTGATCAATGATTGATGGATAAATGATCATGTATGTATTAGTTTTTTATATTGCCCTCCATGCAAGATGATAACGCCAGTGTCTGGTGGCGTGGTCAGGTACCCTCGCAGGTTATCTAGCATGCAGACTATGCTGATGTCAGTGGTTTCTAAAGGTCTGACGTGACACTCGGGTGCATCATACCTCCTTTAAATGTGCCTGGCCTTGAGTGGCATTCACCATCCGGTTCCGCAGGGCACTGTTGACGATAAAGCTGTCATCAGCATGGGATGTGGCCAAAGGACGTCCACTTTTATACCTTTCTGTGTGTCTAATAATAATTATTATTATTATTATGAGAAATAACTTGATGTGCTCATGTTTTGGGAACAAAATTTAAAGTTTTAAATTAAGTCTTAAAAAAAACATCAAGGAACAGCTTAATGAATCCCAAACACAGTTCCACTGTAACCCTCCTAATGCCCCTCACTTCGGAGGAATGTGGGAAAGGGAAATCAGGTCCATTAAATCAGCTCTCAGGGTCACAGTAAGAAGTTCTATGCACAGGCTGTGGCTCAGAGGCAGAGCGGGTCATCCACTAATCAGATGGTTATTGGTTTGATCCCCGGCTCCTCCTGCCACATGTCGAAGTATCCTTGAGCAAGATACTGAACCCCAAATTGCTCCTGATGCTTCGCTGAATGAATGTGTGTGAAAAGGTGAATGTGGCACGTAGTGTAAAAGCACTTTGAGTGGTTGGAAGACTAGAAAGGAAACTATACAAGTACAAGTCCATTTACCATTTACCATTTATGCAATCTGTAATATAGCAGATCCTGAGCCCTTTACCCCAAATCTCCTTCTCATGGGGCAGCGAGATGCTTCTCTTCTACAGGATGTCTATGCAGAAAGACGATGGAGGCGCAGTCAACTTTTAGCTCAGTCCTGCTTCTTCAAAAACTACCTCCCTGGGCGCCCGGTTAACTCAGTGGGTAGCGCTGGCGACCCATGCAGGCTGAGTCCTTGTCGCAGTGGCCCAGGGTTTGAGTCCGACCTGCGACCCTTTGCTGCGTGTCATCCCCTCTCTCTGCCCCCCTTTTCTGTCTGTCTTCAGCTGTCTCTGTAATAAAGGTAATAAAAGCCCCCCCAAAAATACATTAAAAAAACCAACTACCTACCTAACCGACAGGATTAAATGTCTGAAAGACACTCAAAAGAGAGAAATTAAGGCCATTAATGATTTAATGTATTTCTTATTAGTTTTATTGTTTGTTTGTAATTAATCAGATTTGTAACATTTCTTTAATTCTTTTTTTGTTATATAAAAATCATCCACCGAACGCCTGAAATGGATTTCCTGTGATTAAATGTGGCGTTCAGTGAGACAGGTAGCAGGTTCAGGGACTGTTGAAGCATGAAGCTCTGTGATGTTTGGAAAGAAAAGAAGCAAAAGGCAGTTGAATAGTTTTTATGATAAAACTTTTATTGAATAAAACACTGATAACAAGAGTAGAGATATTAATTATAAGGAGGTTCAAACAGCAGGTGGCACCAAACTCTTATTAAAACTGTTTGTTCAGATAAAGAAAGTCAACAGATTTTTTTCACCATGAAAATACTCCTGCAGGTAATCAGATTACTTTATTACCGTCCTAAACATTAAACATACATTCCGACATTAAACACAGTGATCACAAAGAAAGGTGAATATATATATATTGTGTGTATATAAACGCAATATTATATATATATATATATATATATATATATATATAACAGAAGATGTTTTATTGTCAGATCTTCAGTAATGGCTCAGATTCTTTAAATGAACAATAAATAATAATTGTTTATATCAACATTCGTATTGTGTAGTGATTTAATATAATAATTGATGAAGCTGCTGTGGTCAGTTTTAGTGATCCGATATGACTGATCAGATATTGATTGATCTTTTATTCCTGATGTTTTTGTTTCTTGTAAAGAGAAACGCCCCCTGGCGGCGTCTTCGCGCCTCACACGCTCTGACAGTATCAGCCAATCAGAGACGACGCTCTGCCGCGTTTCAATTGAGTGACAGGGAGTCAAGCCAATGGCAGTGCGCCTGCGCAGCTGGCAGTGTTGTGGGAGGGCGGGGTGAAGCGCTGCTCGGCAGCACAGCGGAAGAAAATGGCGGCCGTGGCTGCAGAGCCAGGAGCTGCGGCGGTTCCGACAACAACAATAACCGGGACTACGGACGACGACGGTCCGCTACAACCGGTCCCCGCCGGCCCGGGACTCCCTGGAGCTCCGCTGGAGACCGACGGGCCGCAGGAGTACGGCTCGGTTGTGGAGCTGGTCGTCCCCCGGGCGGAGGATGGTGGGGACGGGGAGGAGCGCCGCCATGTCAGGCCGGAGTTGGAGCCCGCGGCGGGAACAGCGCTCTCTGATAACGACGGACTGATCAATAGCTTCGCCGTTAACGACGGACTGATCAATAGCTTCTCCGTTAACGACGGACTGATCAGTAATTTCTCCGTTAACGATGAACTGATCAGTAATTTCTCCGTTAACGATGAACTGATCAGTAACGACGAGCTGATCAATAAGTTCCCGGTGGAGCGGATGGACCGGTTCTCTCCCGGGGTACCGGGGGATCCGGAGGACCCGCAGCCCTCCGCAGTCTTCCTGCACTCGTTCCCGGCCCCTCCTCCCGGTAGCGAGGCCGGACTGTCTCTGGCAGAACCGGCGGAACCGACCACCAACGAGACCACGGCCCTGGTCCAACCGGAGCGGCCCGGACCCGCGGAGGATGGGACCGAGGACCCGTCCCCATCCTGCCGGTCCCCTAAGAGACGGCTCATGACTGACCCCGCCGGGGAAGACTCTTCTGAACCCGCCCTCGGTGCTCCGCCGCTCGCTTCAGATCTGAGTCCCGGGTCCGAGGTCCGGGTCTCTCTGGACCACGTCATCGATGACGCGCTGGTAGTGTCCTTCCGGCTGGGGGAGAAAGTTTTCTCCGGGGTCCTGATGGACGTGTCCAAAAGGTACAAAGCACACCTGTTCATTACTGTTATTATTATTATTAACTCAACTCTGCCCTTCTGAGTACAAAGTTAGTGTTTATGTACATACACTGTATATACTACATGTACCATATATACACTTTATATATATATATATATATATATATATACAATATTATATAAACAGGTCAGATACAGGTCAGAGGTCCGTGCTGTAGATACAGGGCTTCAGATAGTGCTGTAGATACAGGGCTTCAGATAGTGCTGTAGATACAGGGCTTCAGATAGTGCTGTAGATACAGGGCTTGAGTTGGTGCAGATATCTGTACTTTCTCGTTGATTCATATAATAGAAACAATAAAGACGTTAATGTTGATTTTAGTTTAATATGTTTTATTGGAGTCCAATAACTTGTATTGTTAATGTGATAATGTATACAGTATAAATACACACTGTATGCAGTATAAATACACACTGTATATAAATACACACTGTATGCAGTATAAATACACACTGTATGCAGTATATAAATACACTGTATGCAGTATATAAATACACACTGTATGCAGTATATATATACACTGTATGCAGTATATAAATACACACTGTATGCAGTATATAAATACACACTGTATGCAGTATATATATACACTGTATGCAGTATATAAATACACACTGTATGCAGTATATATACACACTGTATGCAGTATATAAATACACACTGTATGCAGTATAAAAAAAAATATAAATACACACTGTATGCAGTATATATATACACACTGTATGCAGTATAAATACACACTGTATGCAGTATATAAATACACACTGTATGCAGTATAAATACACACTGTATATAAATACACACTGTATATAAATACACACTGTATGCAGTATAAATACACACTGTATATAAATACACACTGTGTGCAGTATAAATACACACTGTGTGCAGTATAAATACACACTGTATATAAATACACACTGTATATAAATACACACTGTATGCAGTATAAATACACACTGTATATAAATACACACTGTATGCAGTATAAATACACACTGTATGCAGTATAAATACACACTGTATGCAGTATATATACACACTGTATGCAGTATATATAACACTTATCAATAAACACACTGTATGCAGTATATAAATACACACTGTATGCAGTATATATATACACTGTATGCAGTATATAAATACACACTGTATGCAGTATATAAATACACACTGTATATAAATACACACTGTATGCAGTATATAAATACACACTGTATATAAATACACACTGTATGCAGTATAAATACACACTGTATGCAGTATATAATAGTATAATACACACTGTATGCAGTATATAAATACACACTGTATGCAGTATATAAATACACACTATGCAGTATATAAACACTGTATGCAGTATATAAATACACACTGTATGCAGTATAAATACACACTATGCAGTATATATATACACTGTATGCAGTATAAATACACACTGTATGCAGTATATATACACACTGTATGCAGTATAAATACACACTGTATGCAGTATATAAATACACACTGTATTAGTATATAAAAACTGTATGCAGTATATAAATACACACTGTATGCAGTATATAAATACACACTGTATGCAGTATAAATACACACTGTATGCAGTATATAATACACACTGTATGCAGTATATAAATACACACTGTATGCAGTATAAATACACACTGTATGCAGTATATAAATACACACTGTATGCAGTATATAAATACACACTGTATGCAGTATAAATACACACTGTATGCAGTATATAAATACACACTGTATGCAGTATAAATACACACTGTATGCAGTATATAAATACACACTGTATGCAGTATAAATACACACTGTATGCAGTATATAAATACACACTGTATGCAGTATAAATACACACTGTATGCAGTATAAATACACACTGTATGCAGTATATAAATACACACTGTATGCAGTATATAAATACACACTGTATGCAGTATAAAATACACACTGTATGCAGTATAAAATACACACTGTATGCAGTATATAAATACACACTGTATGCAGTATATATACACACTGTATGCAGTATATAAATACACACTGTATGCAGTATAAATACACACTGTATGCAGTATATAAATACACACTGATGCAGTATATATAAACACACTGTATGCAGTATAAATACACACTGTATGCAGTATATAAATACACACTGTATTATAAATACAGTATGCAGTATATAAATACACACTGTATGCAGTATATAAATACACACTGTATGCAGTATAAATACACACTGTATGCAGTATATAAATACACACTGTATGCAGTATATAAATACACACTGTATGCAGTATATAATACACACTGAGTATAAATACACACTGTATGCAGTATATAAATACACACTGTATGCAGTATATAAATACACACTATGCAGTATATATATACACTGTATGCAGTATATAAATACACACTGTATGCAGTATATAAATACACACTGTATATAAATACACACTGTATGCAGTATATAAATACACACTGTATATAAATACACACTGTATGCAGTATATAAATACACACTGTATATAAATACACACTGTATGCAGTATAAATACACACTGTATGCAGTATATATACACACTGTATGCAGTATAAATACACACTGTATGCAGTATAAATACACACTGTATGCAGTATAAATACACACTGTATGCAGTATATAAATACACACTGTATGCAGTATATAAATACACACTGTATGCAGTATATAAATACACACTATGCAGTATATATATACACTGTATGCAGTATATAAATACACACTGTATGCAGTATATAAATACACACTGTATGCAGTATATAAATACACACTATGCAGTATATATATACACTGTATGCAGTATATAAATACACACTGTATGCAGTATAAATACACACTATGCAGTATATATATACACTGTATGCAGTATAAATACACACTGTATGCAGTATATATACACACTTATATAAATACACACTGTATGCAGTATATATACACACTGTATGCAGTATATAAATACACTGTATGCAGTATATAAATACACACTGTATGCAGTATAAATACACACTGTATGCAGTATATATACACACTGTATGCAGTATAAATACACACTGTATGCAGTATATAAATACACACTGTATGCAGTATAAATACACACTATGCAGTATATATATACACTGTATGCAGTATATAAATACACACTGTATGCAGTATAAATACACACTGTATGCAGTATATATATACACACTGTATGCAGTATATAAATACACACTGTATGCAGTATATATACACACTGTATATAAATACACACTGTATGCAGTATATATACACACTGTATATAAATACACACTGTATGCAGTATATATACACACTGTATATAAATACACACTGTATGCAGTATATATACACACTGTATATAAATACACACTGTATGCAGTATATATACACACTGTATATAAATACACACTGTATGCAGTATATATACATACTGTATGCAGTAAGGTTGTCATAACTGAGTTTTTAGGGTTCTCACCCTGTGTGTGTGTGTGTGTGTGTGTGTGTGTGTGTGTGTGTGTGTGTGTTTTAGGTTCGGGCCATACGGGATTCCAATCACCGTTTTTCCTCGACGTGACGACCGCAGTCGACCTCAGATGCCACAGCCTGTTAGCGGTGTCGACCCGTCCACCAAACAGGAAGAGGGTACGGTTGGACCAGCGCCCTCGCCCCCCCACCATCCTCAGCCCTGGACCTCGAAACCGCCACCGCTGTTCCAGGAGGGTGCGCCGTACCCCCCTCCTCTGTTCATCAGGGACACCTACAACCAGGCCTTACCTCAGCCGCTTCCTCGCAAAATCAAGCGGCCAAAGCGGCGCTACCGCTGCGAGGAGCCCACCTCCATCATGAACGCCATCAAGCTCCGCCCCCGCCAGGTGCTCTGTGACAAGTGCAAAGGTGTGGTGGCGTCAGGCGGGCACAGGGAAGCACGGCGGGGCCCAGTGGATCTGAGAGGCGAGGAGGCGTCCCGGCGGCGGCGACCTGCTGACGGACCTATTTCTTCTGAGGTGAAACGGCTGAGGAGCGACGACAAGGGAGGACGCGCCGCCACCGACAAACGCTCATCATCAGGGATACGTGTGTCATCTTCATCATCATCTTCCTCTCGCCGTGCCCTGAGGGGCGTGGCTTCGTCCTCTTCGCCGTCTTCGTCCAGCCGCGTGTGTCTGAAGCTGAACTCTAAGAAGGTTCTGGCCAAAGGTTCCGCCGTCGACCGCTCCAAAGCACGGCAGGTTCTCAAGAAGCTGGTGAGGAGTTCTCAGCCATCACCGTCTCATCGCCGGCCCAAAGAACAGAACCAGAATCAGAACCAGGGTCAGACCCAGAACCAGGACCGCACCAAGGCTGTGACCCGAGCCGCCGCCCTGCAGGACCACAACCAGAAGGTTCACTTCACTCGCCGCCTGCAGCACCTCAGCGGCGCCACTGTCAGCTCGAGCTCCCACGCGCAGCTTCCTCCCAGAATGCGTCTGAAACCCCAAAGGTATCGTACCGACGACAGCCAGGTGCCCTGCTCCTCTTCCTCCTCTTCCTCCTCCTCCTCCTCCTCCTCCTCCTCCCCGCCAAAACAGAGCGCTCGCTCCTCGCCTCCAAAACCTGCTTTAAGCCCCGCCCCCACACCTACATCTAGCCCCATCCCACCCCCTACCTCAACTACAGCTCCTCCACCCGTGCCCCCCCCCTGTGCTGCCGAGGAGGCGCAGGAGGAGGAGGAGGGGGTGGAGCAGGCAGCGGGAGGAGATGATGGGCAGGTTCCTCCTCCCTGCTCCTCCTCCTCCTCCCTCGACTCCTCCCACTCAGAATGCAGCTCCACAGAGACCTTTGACCTCCCCCCTCCTGGAGACCCACTCTCCTCCTCCCCCCCTCCCGACTCGGTTCCCCCTCCACCCTCCTTGTTAGAACCTCGGTGTCCCTCCTCTTCCTCCCCCTCTACCCCTCCCCTCAGAACCGATGGCGAGGAGATGCAGGCCGGTGAGGAGGAGGAGGAGGAAGAGGGAGGTGAACTGAAGAGACGTCGTAAGTCTTCCACATCCTCCTCTTCCTCCTCCTCCTCGTCCTCCTCCTCTGTCTTCTCTAAGTTGGTGTCAAAGTGTTTGCTCCCCGATGGTCGGACGGTGTGTGTCGGCGACATCGTTTGGGCGAAGATCTACGGTTTCCCCTGGTGGCCGGCGCGTGTTCTCGGTATCACGGTGTCACGGCGTGGCGACACTGGGCTGGCGGTGCGGCAGGAGGCACGCGTCTCCTGGTTCGGCTCCCCCACCACCTCCTTCCTGCCGCTGACCCAGCTGTCGCCCTTCCTCGAGAGCTTCCAATCCCGCTTCGACAGGAAGAGGAAGGGGCCGTACCGCCGCGCCATCGCCGAGGCCGCCAGCGCCGCCAAACAGCTGACGCCTGAAGTCCGGGCGCTGCTCACGCAGTTCGAGACGTAGCATCGGCTGTCAACACCCTCCCACCCCCTCCACATGTGCCATGCCCCCTCCAATTCTGCCTGCCCATGGGACAGGAAGTAGGAGGAGCTTATCCCTCCTCCTCTTCCTCAGACTGCTACCAGTCTGTCTGTCAGAGACTGAGGCAGACAGGCGGCCATGTTTCTGTTTCCTGTTCTTCCTGTTTGGAGGAGGGGGTGGAGCTTCTGAGTTACCTGTCAGTGTTCAGGAGAGCCGTGGGCGGGGCTTATCTCCTCAGTTTCAGGCAGGTGTCAGTCAGCCGCAGCGTTTCCCTCGCCTCGCCGTCACAGCGTTAAAGGGTCACTTCCTGAGTTTACACAGAAAATGATGAATGATGATGATGTCATAGTGATGTCACTATGTAGCTGTAATGAAAGACACTATCCAGATGCATTATGGGAGATGTGTTGTTAATCTGAGATTACTGGAGGGTCCCTGAGAATCTGATTGGCTGACTGCGTCATGATGATGTCATAACGTTCACATCATTAATAAGAATCAATAATCTAAAAAAACACTAAGCTAGCTAGTTATTATGTTCCATTGATTACAGTGATTGATTGATAAAATATCAGACCTCAATCGAACGTGTTTGACCTCATCAGGGCGACGGCGGCGGCAGCGTCATGGAACACTGACACGCTGACATGTGGTTCTCCTGGTTCCTCCAGGTTCTGCTGAGGAACCGAAAACTTATATTTTATTTGTTTCCGTTCAGAAAGATTCAAACTGTGAAACACAAAGTGTTGTTCAAACTGAGGCCAGGGCCCCAAACAGGGTCCCGAACTGAATAACAACGGTCTGAAGGTTCTGATCATGTGATCAATAATCAAACATCATGAGTACATTATAGAAACAACTTGTATAACATTAGAAGCCCTCTGATTGGATCCTGGATCCTGTCACCCAGCTGTTTGATCAGTCATAATCTGATCAGTCGTATTGATCCAGTTAATGAGCGATTGTCAGCCAAACGATGTCTCACTCGTGTGTTTGAGACCCCGCAGCCTCAGGTGATCAACATTAGACTGACAGACGGACAGGTAGGACAGGTAGGACAGGTAGGACACACTGACTGTTAGACAGGACAGCTGCTCTGCTCTCTGATGATGATGATGATGATGATGATGATGAAGGTGGAGGTGGATTTTCCCTCTTTTTACCGTCTGTTTGCAGATCAGAGATCTGTGAGAGTCGACCTGTGTACTTGTTCTTTTCTCATGTTTTAAATCTATTAAAAAACTGTCAAACTTCTCTCCGATTGGTCGTCGTGGTCATTCTTCTTCTGTGCTCATTTTACTGTAGGAGTAACGCCGGTGCCTTGCTCAGCGGCACGCTGGCTGCACACCTCAGTCAGATTTTCTCACCTGCAAACAGATGTTTGGTAAACGGGTCTCCAGAGCAGTTTTTACCACAAATATCAGCAGCCAGAAAGTTCAGTGTTCCATTGAGATTTTCACTGATTTTAGATTCAGACTCAATGTTTATATAATATATAATATTTATAATATATATATATATATATGTTATATATATTATATATTTATAATATATATGTTATATGAGCTGCTGAATTCAAGTAAAAACATCTCTGATAACCAGAGTGGGAAAATACCAGCAGCTAATACTGTAATATATTATCAGGTACTGATCAGTATTGATCAGTATTGATCATTATCAGCAGCTGTTGGATGTGAAAGGTGATGATGTGTGAAAGTTTGTTAGCTTTAACTGATGTTTGATTTCTGTGGTGTCACTGAGTGAAATATAACGTATCAATATATTGATCAGACATCCTAATATTATTATTATTATATATGTACATCCATCAATGATTGGGTGTTAATAACTTAATAATTAAATATATCAGAGTGATAATAATAAATACTGTTGAGCCGTTAATCGTCAGTAATCATCATTAGTCAACATTGGTAATAAATGATTATTGATCAGAGTTAGGCAGTATATCCTATGTGATGTAATAATAGACAGTAGGTTAAACTCAGGTGTTACCAGCGATATTGATTGAGGCTCCGTTCCATTTAGTGAAACAGCAGCATCTCTATAATTGATCATTAGTTGAGCAAACTATGAAACTAATATAAATTCATATAATTGAATATATAATCAATAATATTTAATGATTAATAATGAATACTGGTGACATCATCACCTGTCTCTCTCTCTCAGGTGACATCATCAGTGACACCTGTCTCTCTCTCTCTGCAGTGCGACTCTGAAGAGCTGCTGACGTTGAGAATCCTGCGCTGCTATTGGCTGCGAGGCTGTGGGCAGTCAGAGCGGCAGATGATCAATCACATGGACATTAAATAATCAATAATTATTTAAGTGAAGAGTTTATATTTATAAAGAGAAAGAAACTTATTCATCTGATCACTGAGCGTTTCCATGGATACTAGACTCAAATCAATGACGTCCTGCAATCAGATCATTTATCAATCAATCAGTGCACTGATCGGTCAGGACATGTTAGCCAAGCTTAGCACAAAGTCTGGCAGCAGGGGGAAACTGTTAGCATAGCTTCAGGCAGTGTGTTCAGGTGTAGAAAGAAACCTTACCTGCACAGGTATGTTCTGACCCCGCCCTCTTTTTCAGAACGACTTCCTGTCAGTTCGCTCCACCAGACTTCATTCAAAAACTACTCAGTTTTGACTTTGATCATCCCGGTCTAGGATCAACAGCTCCAACAGAGACCTTGATTCAGATTAATCAATAATCAGCTGCAATACATAATCAATAATCAGACATCATCCTGCTTTAAAAAGCTTTTTAATGATAAAGATGAAACTGTTCATAAAACACAAGAATCTTTGAGCTAACGTAGCCTCGTGTTTCAGTTGTATATCGGTAAATGAAACAGCTTACAGATTATTGATTATTGTTTTATATTATAAATATCTACAGCCACTAACTGCTAACTGACAAAGCTAACGTGAGCATGCTAATGTCTGAGCTGTTTATGTTGACCTGCAACTTGATAAAAGCTCTGTAATAAAAAAATTTATTACAGTTAATTACAATTTAAAATTAACACGACAAACCTCAAATTACTACACATTATGCCAATGAGTAAAAAATTTCAGTTAGCTTAGCATGATATGATAAACAATGAATATTGTTAACTGAAACACGTGTGAGTGAGGACTTAGTGGACAGCTGCTGAGACCATATTTAGACGGATTGATCTGCTCTTGGTTTCAGCTCGTCTTTAGCTGGAAACAAACACGATGTCATATTCCAGATGAATTGTAAAATACGGCGTATCGTTAGTTTGATCTGAGTTTGGTGCGTTGAGCTGGACAGACTCACTGAGAATGAGCTGTCAATCACAAGGTAGCCCCGCCCTAAAGCATACCCTGCTTTATGGTCTGTTTTACTCTCAATGGGACCATCAGTTACTAAATGAACGTCATGCTGTATGGAAGAAGACTGAAACTAGAGACTGAGGCCAGAAACTCATCAGGAAACTGTTTACTGAGCTTATTGAACAACCTCTCCATAAGACTCAATACTATCAGAGTTGAGCTGCCCCCTGCTGGCTGTTAGAGACACTGCAGGTTTAACACAGTCCTGACCTGCAGTCTGAACTGGTTATCTGAAAATGATTTCATGGTTTGAATCATCCGTCCATTCTTTATTTGTCTGATCCGAAAGTGATGCAAATATGTGACGATAAGTGTAGAAAAATGTATGAATAGTATAATTATTATTGTGTATAAGCTGCAGAGAATAAATGCAATAAAAAGGCTGCATGTGTGAAACCAGTCTGGTTGTTTTGTTGGATTATTGATCAGTTAGTTAGAGTCTTTACGACTGTGCCTACAGACTGTACACGAACAACTATTATCACTGTACAAACAATTCGATTCATTTCAATTCAATTTTATTTGTATAGCGCCAATTCATAACAGAAGTTATCTCAGGACACTTTTCAAATAGAGCAGGTCTAGACCGAACTCTTTAACATTAATTACAGAGACCCAACAGTACCACCATGAGCAAGACCTTGGAGACAAGGGCAAGGAAACACTGCCTGTTAAAAGGCAGAAACCTAGGACAGATCCTCCGGCCCTAGGTGGGTGGTCGTCTGTCTCGACCAGTTGGGGTGAGAGAGAGAGAGACAGACAGAGAGAGAGACAGACAGACAGACAGGTGCACAGCAATAACAGTATTGGTAATGGCAATCAAGCAGGACCATGGCAGGAGGCTCCACCAGGATCGATAAGAACCTGCGAGACGAGAAAGCACAAGAACTCCGGGGAAGAAGTGAAGTTAGTAACATGCATTAATGGAACATGAATGAGTGCAGAAAGAGAGAGGAAGGGAGGAGCTCAGTGCACCATGGAAAATCTCCCGATAGTCTAGGCCTATAGCAGCATAACTAAGGGATGGTTCAGGACTCACCTGATCCAGCCCTAACTATAAGCTTTATCAAAGAGGAATGTCTTAAGCCTACTCTTGAATGTGGTGAGGGTGTCTGCCTCCTGAACCACAACTGGAAGCTGGTTCCACAGGAGAGGAGCTTGGTAACTGAAGGCTCTGGCTCCTGTTCTACTTTTAGAGACTATAGGAACCACAAGTAGCCCAGCATTCAGAGAACGTAGTGTTCTAGAGGGGTAATAGGGTACTATGAGCTCTTTAAGATATGAAGGGGCCTGACCATGAAGAGCTTTATAGGTGAGGAGGAGGATTTTAAATTCTATTCTACATTTTACAGGGAGCCAATGCAGAGAAGCTAGTACAGGAGAGATGTGATCTCTTTTTCTAGTTCCTGTCAGTACTCATGCTGCAGCGTTTTGAATTAATTGGAACGATTTAATGGACTTATTGGGGCAACCTGATAATAAAGAGTTGCAGTAATCCAGCCTAGAAGTAACCAATGCATGGATTAGTTTTTATGCGTCTGTCTGTGATAGGATGTGTCTAATTTTTGTAATATTACGTAAATGAAAGAAGGCAGTCCTAGAGGTCTGCTTCATGTGGGAATTAAAAGACAAATCCTGATCAAAGATAACTCCAAGATTCCTGACAGTGGTGCCAGAGGCCAAGGTAATGCCATCTAGAGTAACTATATCTTTAGACAGTGAGTCTCTAAGGTTTTTGGGGCCAAGTACAAGAATTTCGTTAGATAATTGATTAATTTCATCGGGCTTGATTGATAGATATAACTGCGTATCATCTGCATAACAGTGAAAGTTAATGGAGTGACTCCTAATAATTTTGCTAAAGGGAGCATATATAAAGTAAATAGAATTGGTCCAAGTACAGAACCTTGTGGAACTCCATGACTAACTGTAGTATTTATTGAAGATTCTTCGTTAACATGTACAAACTGCGAACAATCTGATAAATATGACTTGAACCAGCTTAGTGCGGTTCCTTTAATGCCAATTTGATGCTCAAGTCTCTGTAAAAGAATATTATGGTCAATGGTGTCAAATGCAGCACTAAGATCTAATAATACAAGTACAGAGACAAGTCCATTGTCAGAAGCAATCAGAAGGTCATTATTAACTTTAACCAGAGCTGTCTCTGTGCTGTGATGAACTCTAAATCCTGACTGAAAATCCTTAAATAAACTATTGTTTTGAAGAAATTCACACAACTCTTTGGCGACTACCTTCTCCAGAATCTTAGAGAGGAAGGGGAGGTTAGAGATTGGTCTATAGTTGGCTAAAACCCCTGGGTCAAGAGTGGGCTTTTTAAGAAGGGGTTTAATTACAGCTACTTTAAAGGACTGTGGTACATATCCTGATAATAAAGAAAGATTAATCATATCCAGTAAAGAAGTGCCAATTAAGGGAACAACTTCTTTAAGCAGCCTAGTTGGGATCGAGTCCAACAGACAGGTTGATGGCTTCGATGTAGAAATTACTGAAGTTAACTGATGAAGATCAATAGCAGAAAAACAGTCTAAATATATATCTAAGTTTACATTAGTTAAAGTTCCTGAACTTGGAGAGCCACTGATAACTATTGATGGCAGTTGGTGATTCATTTTTTCTCTAATAGTAATAATTTTATTATAAAAGAAGCTCATAAAGTCGTTGCTACTTAAGTTTATGGGGATATGTGGCTCAATACTGTACTCACTGTACAAACACAACTTTATTAACACTGTACAAACACACAACTTTATCTACACTGTACAAACACACAACTTTATTATCGCTGTACAAACGCATAACTTTAATAACACTGTACAAACACACAACTTTATTATCACTGTACAGATACAACTTTATTATCACTATACAAACACACAACTTTATTAACACTGGACAAACACACAACTTTATTATCACTGTACAAACACACAACTTTATTAACACTGTACAAACACAACTTTATTATCACTGTACAAACACACAACTTTATTAACACTGTACAAACACACAACTTTATTAACACTGTACAAACACAACTTTATTATCACTGGACAAACACACAACTTTATTATCACTGTACAAACACACAACTTTATTAATACTGTACAAACACACAACTTTATTATCACTGTACAAACACAACTTTATTAACACTGTACACACACAACTTTATTTTCACTGTACAAACACACAACTTTATTAACACTGTACAAACACAACTTTATTATCACTGTACAAACACAACTTTATTAACACTGTACAAACACAACTTTATTTTCACTGTACAAACACACAACTTTATTAACAGTGTACAAACACAACTTTATTTTCACTGTACAAACACACAACTTTATTGACACTGTACAAACACAACTTTATTATCACTGTACAGACACAACTTTATCTACACTGTACAAACACACAACTTTATTAACACTGTACAAACACACAACTTTATTAACACTGTACAAACACAACTTTATTATCACTGTACAGACACACAACTTTATTATCACTGGACAAACACACAACTTTATTATCACTGTACAGACACACAACTTTATTAACACTGTACAAACACACAACTTTATTAACACTGTACAAACACACAACTTTATTAACATTGTACAAACACAACTTTATTTTCACTGTACAAACACACAACTTTATCTACACTGTACAAACACACAACTTTATTAACACCGTACAAACACAACTTTATTAACACTGTACAAACACAACTTTATCTACACTGTACAAACACACAACTTTATTAACACTGTACAAACACACAACTTTATTATCACTGTACAAACACACAACTTTATTAACACTGTACAAACACACAACTTTATTAACAGTGTACAAACACAACTTTATTTTCACTGTACAAACACACAACTTTATCTACACTGTACAAACACACAACTTTATTAACACCGTACAAACACAACTTTATTAACACTGTACAAACACAACTTTATCTACACTGTACAAACACACAACTTTATTAACACTGGACAAACACACAACTTTATTAACACCGTACAAACACACAACTTTATTATCACTGTACAAACACACAACTTTATCTACACTGTACAGACACACAACTTTATTATCACTGTACAAACACACAACTTTATTAACACTGTACAAACACAACTTTATTATCACTGTACAAACACACAACTTTATTATCACTGTACAAACACACAACTTTATTAACACTGTACAAACACAACTTTATTATCACTGTACAAACACACAACTTTATTAACACTGTACAAACACAACTTTATTATCACTATGCAAATCTTTTTGTAATTTTGGATGTAACACACATTTAGCGTATCCTCCTGTTGCTGCCTGTTTTTATAGGAAACAAACTGCTTCCTTTTTCACATGGACTTTAACATCATTGGACACTTTTTTTCCATCCAACAGATGGGCAGAAGTTTGCCTGAAGAACAGAGAGACTGTTATAATCAATAATCAATAACCAATAATCAACAAGAGAGTGACCTGGTGGTGAATTCCTGTCACTTGGAGACTGTGTGTGTGCGTGTGTGTGTGATAGTTAATAATCTGTGGGTAATCTCTTTGGACTTTCACCTAAAACAGACACTCTCTCTCTCTCTCTCTCTCTCTCTCTCTCTCTCTCTCTCTCTCTCCCTCTGTCTCTCTCTCTGTCTCTCTCTCTCTCTCTCTCTCTCTCCCTCTCTCTCTCTTTCTCTCTCTCTCTGTCATTCTCTCTTCAGTATTTGATGCTCGATCATCCAGGAAGTACAACTGCAGGAGAAATGGAAGACGACCGTAAGGTAAACTGATTACTGATCGATTATTGTCTCTAAAACCGTCTGATTGTTTCTGTCAGTCACAAACCACCTGTCTATCCTTGTTTCACTGAATGTAAGACAGATGGACTGTAGGAATGTAAGACAGGTGGACTGTAAGAATGTAAAACAGGTGGACTGTAAGAATGTAAGACAGGTAGACTGTAAGAATGCAAGACAAGTGGACTGTCAGAATGTAAGACAGGTGCACTGTAAGAATGTAAGACAAGTGGACTGTAGGAATGTAAGACAGGTAGAGTGTGAGAATGTAAGACAAGTGGACTGTAAGAATGTAAGACAGATGGACTGTGAGAATGTAAGACAGGTGGACTGTAAGAATGTAAGACAGATGGACTGTAGGAATGTAAGACAGGTGGCCTGTAAGAATGTAAGACAGGTGGACTGTAGGAATGTAAGACAGGTGGACTGTAGGAATGTAAGATAGGTGGACTGTAGGAATGTAAGACAGGTGGACTGTAGGAATGTAAGATAGGTGGACTGTAGGAATGTAAGACAGGTGGACTGTAGGAATGTAAGATAGGTGGACTGTAGGAATGTAAGACAGGTGGACTGTAGGAATGTAAGACAGGTGGACTGTAGGAATGTAAGACAGGTGGACTGTAGGAATGTAAGATAGGTGGACTGTAGGAATGTAAGACAGATGGACTTCATTATATTTTTATTTTTTATCTTATTTCATTGTTTCACTTAATTTTTCTTTCTTTCTTTTATTTTGAAAAGTACAATATGAAGTTACTATGTGCCTGTCTGTCCAAACAGAGTCATGATTACCTGGCAGAGGGGCGGAGTTGCAAGGTAGAGCGGTTTAACCAGCCAATGGGAGAAGACAGAACAAATAAACATCCAACTGGAGCACAGAGGGCTGGGTCAGACATGATTTACACCATTGAAGACGTCCCACCCTGGTACCTGTGTATTCTACTGGGACTGCAGGTAAAACTGGGATGTTTTTTTGTGTTTGTCCAATCATGTGAAGGAAAGACTGATGATGTCACCTGTCTCACCTGTTCTGTCCTCAGCATTACCTGACTTGTTTCAGCGGCACTGTAGCAGTGCCATTTCTTCTGGCTGAGGCCATGTGTATCGGTCGAGACCAGAACACCATCAGTCAGCTGATTGGAACCATTTTCACCACCGTCGGACTTACAACCCTGATCCAGACCACCGTGGGAATCAGGTGAGACTGAGGGAGTCATCTGGACTCATTAATGACAGCATTAATAGCACATCATGTTTAATTAGGAAATTAGTCCAATATTAAGTAGCAGTTTGAATCCAACTAAAAGCTCCCTGCACCAAACTCCCTTTGAAAAATATCACATTTTAACAATTCCTAACGTGTTCGTAACAACACATAACTCTAGAAACACGAGCTAAAGGCCGTCATATGTCCACAGTCTGACTGTCAATACAGGATCAATATCATCCATAAAGATACAGTGTATACTGATCAATATCATCCATAAACAAACAGTGTATTCTGATCAATAATCCATAAAGATACAGTGTATACTGATCAATAATTTATAAAGATACATGGATACAAGATATGTGTTCTGATCAATATAGGCGTTACCATAGTGACTACCTGGTTCTCTGCTTCCTGTCTGCTGCTTTTTTGGGGACGAGCTCATCCTGGCTTGCTGCCGTGTTGTGTTTATCTGTGGAGAGGCGGGGGGAGGGGTCAGCGCACTCCAACCTACGGGAGCCCAAAGGGAGCGCCGGTGTTGTGGAAGTTCAAGAGAAAACCGATTTTAGCTAAAAATAAATCATGTTTAACTACGAATTCGAATTTATCGATAAAATCGATTTGTGTTAAAAGAACATTAGATATGAGACCCCGAGAAAAATGTATGTATGTATTATAATCTATTTTTGAACTTGATACAAATTTTGACACAACTGCACTTTTATTTTCCTTATTTATGAACTTGCTGTTATTTGATGTAGATAGTTAGTTTGTATTTAGATGCAACTTGTTACTATACTGATACCACTTGTTACTTCAATAAATTGGAACATTTTAAGCTTGTTGCATATTTTATTAGCATTGTGTTGGGGCAATGGGGGCAGGTGGGGCTTGAAAATTCCCCCTTGTCCGAAGTGGGGAATGACCAAAAAAGTTTGAGAACCACTGGGTTAGAGAGTAACAGATCAGAGGTATTAAAGGATGTTTAACTGGTTAGTAATATGGAGTTCAGCTCAGCTAACAGCACTGAAGATTAAACATTAAATAGGCTATCCTAAATGTAAGCTAGTTTGCCATTACTGATGTGTTGTTGCAGATTGTCATGGACAAAGAATAGCGCTCATATTCATGAATGTGTATTATATTATTAGCATGCTAATCGCTAGTAAAGCTAATCGCTAATTAGGGTAGAAACTAGCTCACTACTCACTAAATAAAGAGTGAAACTATCTAAATCAACATATTCATTTGGCATTTGATTAAAAAATAGTATAAACCAGGTGAGTTTGCAAGTTTACCTAGCATGATGGCTAATTAGTGATTAGCTTTACTAGCGATTAGCATGCTAATAATATAATACACATTCATGAATATGAGTAATAAAGACACAAATCTAACTCCATATTTGTCTCCAAAAACTGTCAGCGAGATGAAAACCAGAACTAAACTCATGTAGAGTGAACTCAGTGTGTGTGTGTGTGTGTGTGTGTGTGTGACTTCCATTGTTTCAGGCCAGTGCATTTGCTTTTCTGATTCCTGCACAAGCCATCCTCAGTCTGGACCGCTGGAGGTGTCCCAGTGAAGGTTAGACTCTGTCTCTCTATCTGTCTGTCTGTCTTTCTGTCTGTCTCTCTACTCAATAAAATGTATCTGCAGAATTCTGCATGTAGAGATTCTGTTGGATGTTTGTCCCAATGGGTAAAGCTCTGATGACTGAGTGGACCCCATACTTCACTACCGTACAGCGCAATGGGCTGGATGACACTATCAAATATTTTAAGCCAGATTCTTATTGGAATATGGAAATTATAACATTTTCTCTTAATTGCATACAGAGCTCTTTGAGCTTTTTCTTTTAGTGCATTCACTGCCATGTTGAAACTCCCTGATGCTGTTATGGTTATACCAAGGTAGGTATAACTCATGCTGTGTTCAATGACATGATTATTGATGGTAAATTGGTGTTTGTTCTCATGACACCTGGGGCGTTTTTGAAAGATCATGACATTGGTTTTCTTCATGTTTACTGCCAGGGCCCAGTTCTGACAGTACTTTTCTACTACGTCCAGCTGTAGCTGTAGTCCTTGTTCAGTAGGAGACAATAGAACAAGGTCATCAGCATAAAACAGAGACTTCACCTCTCTATCTAGGAGGGAGAGGCCCGGAGCAGCACATTTATCTAACAGCCAGTTCATTTATATACACATTAAATAAAGTCGGACTTAGATTGCAACCCTGCCGAACGTCTCTTCTCTGGGGGAAGAAATCAGTTAGTTTGTCTCCAATTTTAACAGCACACATGTTTTCCAAATACATTGATTTAACCAGATCATACATTTTGCCACCTATACCACAGTTTAAAAGTCCGTAATAGAGCCCTTCATGCCAAATACAGTCGAAAGCTTTCTTGAAATCAATAAAGCAGGTGAATAATCTCTCTCTCTGTCTGTCTCTTTATGTCTGTCTTTATGTCTGTCTGTCTGTCTGTCTGTCTGTCTGTCTGTCTCTCTCTCTCTGTTGTGTCTGTTTGTCTCTCTGTCTCTCTCTCTCTCTCTGTTGTGTCTGTCTGTCTGTCTTTCTGTCTGTCTCTCTCTCTGTCTCTCTGTCTGTCTGTCTGTCTGGTGTTGATTCTGTAATTAAACAACATGATAATAGTGAATAAAGTGAATTGTTGTTTTGTTCCTCTGCAGAGGAGATTTATGGGAACTGGAGTCTTCCACTCAACACCTCACACATCTGGCAGCCACGCATCAGAGAGGTACTTGATTGTTATTTGTACAGGTTGCCATTGGTAACGGTTGCCGGGGTGCTGGCGATGCTGAGTGCAACCATGGCAGGCATCATGGAGTCAATTGGGGATTATTATGCCTGGAGCCACGCCCCCTCCAGTCCACGCCATCTGTTTGACTGATCCAGGTGAGACCTGAAGCAGCAGACAGGTATGGGAGAAGGTCATAGGTCATGGAGGTCATGGAGAATGACTTTTAGTTCTGACAAACCTTCAGAGAACTGAGGTGAGGCGAGGGAGCAGAAAGGCTGACCTAGTCCGAGGATATATATCAATCTGGGAAAATACTGGAAGTAATCCCGTGTCCATCACTGTCTCCTTACAGCCTGAATACAAGATGTAATGGTAAATGGTAATGTACTTGTAAAGCGCCTTTCTAGTCTTCTGACCACTCAAAGCGCTTTTCCACTACAGCCACATTCACCCTTTCACACACATTCACTCAGTGATGGCATAGTATCGAACAGAAACTAACTCATTCATACACATTCAAACACTGATGCTCAGCATCGAGATCAATTTGGGGTTCAGTATCTTGCTCAAGGATACTTCAACATGTGTGCAGGAGCAGGTGATCGAACCAACAACCTTCCGATTAGGGGACGACCCGCTCTGCCTCTGCACCACAGTCGCCCCAAACTGTCCTCTTTACTTTCTGTGTAAAGTTACTTTGACACTGAAGAATGAGGAAGAATCTGTGCAGTTATCAGCTGCTCCAAGTGTCCAGTGTCTGAGACCCTGCAGGTTAATGAAATAATACTATTGATTACTAATATAACTGATCAGTGCTGATTGATTAGCTAGAACATTAGTGAGCTCTAGTGAGCTTTCATCAGTAGCTACCCATAATGCCACACAGTCAGTAGGACTTGCCACCACAGTAATGGCCACGGCGCTAAATGGCGGAACACAAAAACTGATTGCTGGATTTGAGTGTTGTTGGACTGCAGAAAGAAAACCTGAACCCGACTGAGTCATCCTCCATAGAGCAGGCAGAGCCGGAACATTCTGGGAAGTCTGGTCCACTAAAACGCTCTCAGGAGATTCACCTGCTGAAAGCTCTGGACTCTGTTGGACTGTCTTATCTTCACATTTCGCGCTAGCTAGCAAATAGGAGTCAGTGAGCAAGGCAGTGAACGAGTCAGCAGGGATGAAGACTTGTGACTCCTGAGTCATTTAAAAGAGTTGTTTCAAATGATTCACTCATGACTCACTCATCACTACTAATATCTAACTCTAATATCCAATGAGTTCCAGAGTTAGGGATGCACTCTCACCAGAACTTTATAGGATACATCAGGAACTTTAGTCTCCAGTCTCTGGTCTCAGGTCTCCAGTCATTGGTCTCTGTTCTTAGGTCTCCATTCATTGGTCTCCGGTCTCCAGTCATTGGTCTCAGGTCTCAGGTCTCCAGTCATTGGTCTCTGTTCTTAGGTCTCCATTCATTGGTCTCCGGTCTCCAGTCATTGGTCTCAGGTCTCAGGTCTCCAGTCATTGGTCTCTGTTCTCAGGTCTCCATTCATTGGTCTCAGGTCTGTCTCTGGTCTATGACTGACAGAATAAGAAAGTAGTCCCTCAGAGACAGAAACGGTGTTTGTTTGTGTGTTTCAGATCCAGGGTGCCATCATCATGTCCAGCATTGTGGAGGTTGTGATCGGTCTGTGTGGGTTGCCAGGTCTGCTGCTGGACTACATCGGTCCACTCACTGTCACTCCAACTGTCTCACTGATTGGCCTGTCGGTCTTCACCACAGCTGGAGACAGAGCTGGGTCTCACTGGGGCCTGTCAACATTGTGAGGCTCTGTCTGTCTGTCTGCTCATCTCCATCTAGTCACTTGTCTGTCTGCTCATCTGTCTGTCTGCCAGTATAAACCTGTCTGTGTTGTGACAGACAGCTGTCTCTCTCTCTGCAGGTGTATTTTGCTGATCGTGCTGTTTGCTCAGTACCTAAGAGCGACATCACTTCCTGTTCCTGTTTACAGCAGGAAGAAAGGCCTGACCTCCACCAGAGTCCAGATCTTTAAAATGTTTCCTGTAAATAAAAAACACACAAACAAAAAGCACCAGGTGATGATGTCAGGTGAATCGTCTTTAATTGTATTTCCTGTTTCTGTCGTCTCTCTCAGATCATCCTGGCCATCATGTTTGTTTGGCTCGTTTGTTACATTCTCACTCTGACCAACCTGTTGCCGAGCGACCCCAGTCGCTACGGACACAAGGCCCGGACCGATGCCCGTGGGGACATCATGGCTTCATCACCCTGGTTCAGAGTCCCCTATCCTTGTAAGACACCTGAATTTAGCCAATCACAGGCTGTGATGGTTTAAAAGATGCATGTGAACAGTTTTCAGTTGACATCCCTGAGTTCTGTCTGACAAACGTCCCACATACATCTTCAAACATCAACACAAGGATCAGAAAGAATCAATAAATGGACAGAGGTTAATCCTTCTGTGAGGTCACAGACGATGATGATGATGGGGTAAAGATGACAATAGATCAGCCAGTATTTCTGACTCCCTGCTCCCTCTGGTGTCTGATAGGCCAGTGGGGGTTGCCAGTGGTAACAGTTGCCGGGACGCTGGGGATGCTGAGTGCCACCATGGCGGGCATCGTGGAGTCAATTGGTGATTATTATGCCTGTGCTCGTCTGTCTGGAGCCACACCGCCTCCAGTCCATGCCATCAACAGGTGAAACAGGAAGTAAACGAGAAGTAATGTTATCTTACCTGACAGACTCCACCCTCACAGGTGATTAATGGTTTGTTTATTTGTTTGTTTCAGGGGAATCTTCACTGAGGGAGTGTGCTGCATCATCGCTGGACTTTTAGGGACAGGAAATGGCTCTACCTCCTCTAGTCCAAATATAGGCGTTCTGGGCATCACCAAGGTAAGGCTACACACACCTGTGACAGGACATGTACAACAAGTCCTCAGACCTGTACAATGAGTCCTCAGACCTGTACAACGAGATCTCAGACCTGTACAACTATCCAATTCAATTCAATTTTATTTGTAAAGTGACAATTTCTAACAAACGTTATCTCTGTCTGCCTTGACTTGTCGGGGTTAGAGAGAGACAAAGGTGCACAGCAACAACTATACTAGTAGAAATGAAAGCAGGCACCACCAGGATCCATGAGAACCTGCGAGACAAAAACAAAAACAAAAAAGATGTTTAAATCGTTGACCCTGTGTGCAGGTTGGCAGCAGGCGGGTGGTGCAGTACGGAGCAGGTATCATGTTCCTGTTGGGATCAGTCGGGAAGTTTACAGCTCTGTTTGCCTCACTGCCGGATCCAATCCTTGGTGGAATGTTCTGCACACTGTTTGGTGAGTCATAGTAACAGGTAAAGTGTTGATCCAGGTGTGTTAGTGATGTCATAATAACCCAGGTGTGTTTCTCAGGTATGATCACTGCTGTCGGCCTGTCTAACCTGCAGATGGTGGATTTGAACTCGTCCAGAAATCTTTTTGTTCTCGGGTTCTCGATGTTCTTCGGTCTGACTCTGCCGACGTACCTGGACACACACCCCAACTCCATCAGCACAGGTGAGTGTGTGTGAGTGTGTGTGTGCAGTAAAACTAAAGATTTCCCTCACAGAATAGCAGGCGTTAGGTAAAGCTGACAGTTGACAGATTATTGAATATTTGTGATATCACTGCATTGATTATAAACTGTTAACCAGCAGTAATGATTGTGAATCAGAACAAGCAGCAGGGATACTGAACCTTTAGTTTAACGTTGTTTTGGTTTCTCTGAGACTGTCAGAGACTGACGAGGAGGCAGCTGTACTGTGTAGATAGATCAGCTGTTTGATTTGGATCCTACAGATCAGGTCTATGTGTTCAGGTCTTGCAGAACTAGATCAGATCCTGACGGTTCTTCTGTCCACTGAGATGTTTGTTGGAGGTTTTCTGGCTTTTTGTCTTGACAACACGATACCAGGTAACACACACACACACACACACACACACACGGCTGTTGCCGTAGGCGACATGTTGAGTGAGATGAATCTGTTTCATAGTAATGAAGAGAAACACACGTAAACACAGTGTGTGTGTGTGTGTGTGTGTGTCTCTGTGTGTTCAGGCTCCAAACAGGAACGAGGTTTAGTCGAGTGGAAGTCTTCCTTCTCCTCTTCCTCTTATGATCTTCCTCTGGGGATGGGTGTGGTCAGGCGGACTCGATGGCTCAGACGGTTTCCCATCAGCCCTTCCTTCACAGGTTTCCAGGCGTCTGACGACCCGCCGCCGCCCGAGCAGGAGGAGGAGGAGATGGAGGAGAAGAAGGAGGAGGAGGCAGCTGCTGACATCAACCTGCACAGTACCAAAGTGTGAGCGGGAATCAAACCAGTTACTGTTTTATTCTCAGACACAATGAATGAAATCTGCATCCGGATCGCGACATGAAAATGTTCCATTCACTCACAATAAAAACTGTCGTTTTATTAATGCGTGGTAGTGTTGATGTCACTGGATGATGTCACTGGATGATGTCACTGGTTCCTGTAGTTAGCGTAGATAGATAGATGACGTCACTGGTTCCTGTAGTTAGCAACAGCTGTTGAAATTAAAGGGAGACTATGATTCCCAAGGTGCATTTCACTAACAAACATCGATCAATCACACGGAAAACAATTTCAACAAGTAATTCATTTCTAAACTCAGTAACCGTGACAACATGTTTTTAATTCATTACCGCTGACTGGATTCTTCTCTATGGCCACAGCAGCAGAGGCTCAAGGGTATTCAATTCAATTCAATTCAATTTTATTTGTATAGCGCCAATTCATAACAGAAGTTATCTCAGGACACTTTTCAAATAGAGCAGGTCTAGACCGAACTCTTTAACATTAATTACAGAGACCCAACAGTACCACCATGAGCAAGCACTTGGCGACAAGGGCAAGGAAAAACTGCCTGTTAAAAGGCAGAAACCTAGGACAGATCCTCCGGCTCTAGGTGGGTGGTCGTCTGTCTCGACCAGTTGGGGTGAGAGAGAGAGAGAGAGAGAGAGAGAGAGAGAGAGAGAGACAGACAGACAGACAGACAGGTGCATAGCAACAACAGTATTGGCAACGGCAATCTAGCAGGACCATGGCAGGAGGCTCCACCAGGATCGACAAGAACCTGCGAGACGAGAAAGCACAAGAACTCCGGGGAAGAAGTGAAGTTAGTAACATGCATTAATGGAACATGAATGAGTGCAGAAAGAGAGAGGAAGAGAGGAGCTCAGTGCATCATGGGAAATCCCCCGATAGTCTAGGCCTATAGCAGCATAACTAAGGGATGGGTCAGGACTCACCTGATCCAGCCCTAACTATAAGCTTTATCAAAGAGGAATGTCTTAAGCCTACTCTTGAATGTGGTGAGGGTGTCTGCCTCCAGAACCACAACTGGAAGCTGGTTCCACAAGAGAGGAGCTTGGTAACTGAAGGCTCTGGCTCCTGTTCTACTTTTAGAGACTATAGGAACCACAAGTAGCCCAGCATTCAGAGAACGTAGTGTTCTAGAGGGGTAATAGGGTACTATGAGCTCTTTAAGATATGAAGGGGCCTGACCATGAAGAGCTTTATAGGTGAGGAGGAGGATTTTAAATTCAATTCTACATTTTACAGGGAGCCAATGCAGAGAAGCTAGTACAGGTATTGTAGTGTAAATAATAAGCTGCTGTCAGAAGCAGCGGCTCTTCACCAATCCAAACTGTTCCTCAGTATGATGTCGTATAATCTTCACAGCTGTTTGACTGAAATGTTATTATTATTTTCATTATTATTACTTATAAACCAATTCTGCCTCTGTTACCATGGAAACCTAAAAATATTTGAACCATAAACAGGATTTAGTGCGAAAAACCGCTCAGTGTGTTTATGATGGCGGCTATGGCTCAGAGGCAGAGCGGGGTTGTCCCCTAATTGGAATTTTGTTGCCCCCCTTTCCCCCCCCACCTAATGTGTATGAATGAGTTAGTTTCTGTTCGATGGACTTTGCCATCACTGTGTGAATGTGTGTGAAAGGGTGAATGTGGCACTTAGTGTAAAAGCGCTTTGAGTGGTCGGTAGACTAGAAAGGCGCTAAACAAGTACAGGTCCATTTACCATTTACCATGATCTCAAGAAACCGTTGAAGAAACTGACAAACAAGTTATTACTTTTCACTTATTTTTATTTATAACCTCAAAAAATAAATCATATTTTTATTATTACAAGTGTAAGACCAACATGGTGAAAAATGTCAAATGTCAGAAAATTTTGCAAAAAGTGACAAAAAAACATTATTTTCATTAAAATGAATGACGGCAGCACATTTGAAATATTATTGATATTTTCTCTCTTCACAACAAGTGAGGCTGAAAACCTTTTATTATATAGATAATCTAAATAATAACAACAACAATAATAATAACATAATTATTATTAAAATAATGAATATGTATGTATGAGTCATTTTTAGATTAAGTGAAGTTTAGGTGTTCTGCAATCAAATAAAGGTTTTAATTTAAATAATGATTTATTTTGCATTTTTTTAACTTTGAAAAAAGTATGTCACAGAGAACTAAAACAATAAAGTAAATTTCATGGTATCTGCTCCTTGTGTGTCTTATTCGGGTTGTAAACTTTATTTACAAACAGAAAACAAATCAAACAGCCCCAAAACAATCTGAGGTAAAATAAAGTCATACCGAATAATTCTGAATCAGTATTTCTCTGTAGACAAAGCAGCGCTAACTCAAATAACACACAATAAATGATTTATGAATAAACAAATATCAGTACAGGCGCCCAGGTAGCTCACCTGCTAGAGCGTGCACCTCATGTACAACAGCAGCCCGGGTTCAATACCAAAGTGTGGCCCTTTCAGCTACAGACAGTTCACGCAGTCCTTGTATTGATTGTTGACTGAACCAGTTCAAGAACCAGAGCTAGTGTGGTGTAAAATGGCTCTTCTCTTCCCAATAGTTCCAGTTTGGAGCCACGATTGTTTCTGAATCATTAATTTTACCTCCGCCCACTATCTTACATAACATTAAAGCTCTGTACTAATCACGGAAATATGAGCGCTACGTTAATAAATGAGACTACAACTACTACAGGCTGACATTGAAACTAAATGTAAGTTTGAATTAAAAATTGTAATTTGAAATTGTGTAATATTTTGATCGTGTTATATATTTTTTAATTATTTTATTTTTTTCCTTCATATCCCACTGGAGGCAGCTTGCGTACCACCATAGTTCGAGAACCAGTGATCTAAATGAAAGAGCAGACTAATAATTGTCCGTAATTTATATAACATAAATAAGAATAAATAAAACTCTAATATAATGTTAACCCATTAATCTAACTGCAGTTACAGATAATCAAAGAGAGTAATTACACACATGCTCATTAATACTAATAATACTCAATTACTACAGGTTTTCTACCAAATTACATTTTGTTTACTTCCATATAGTTAATAATTTTATATTAAAGTTATTTTATTTTATATTTTATCAAAATGTTTTGATGATCTGAGCTGCAGTTCCTCTGACGTCCACACCATGCTAGTGTGATCAAACTCTGAAAACTTCCAACTACAAATACAATAATAAGAGTCATTTTATGATGACTGAGAGGAGACTTTCACAATAAGAGTCTGATTATGATCACTAAAGGTAGAATTTTTACAATAATAAAAAAAAAGTGTTTGTTTGCTCCACTCAGATTGAATTAAAATTTTCTGAAAGACACAGGTGTGTCATCCTATGGGCTGTGATGTCATCACGGTGCTGTATGTGTGAAGTTGACCGATGGTGTGTGTAGAGTGAAGGGCAGACATGGGGCAGCGTACAGGGAGGACACAGCAACCGTTGGCTGGAACTGCATCATTGATAGGATGGCAGGGTTTGTGGTGGAAGGGGTGTGGTTTATCACAAAGGGGGCAGGGTTTGCAAAGCGCACTGGGAACACGGCGGTGTTGGGGGTGGTGCGGGCTGCAGGTAGGAACACCCAGACGTACTGACCGGTTTCTGGATCCAGCAGCATCTTCCTCTGAGCCTTCGGGGGCGTGTCCACATAGAAGCACCCCACACTTTTAGGATTTTTTAACATCATGTGACAGAGGGAGGGGCCACTGAGGAGGGCCCCAGGTGCTGCAGAAGAACCTGTGACATCAACAACAAAGTCATTACCCACCTGAGCAGGTGAGAAACCCTGAACACCGTACACAAAGTGCTGCTGCTGACGTTGCTGTTGCTCATGTTGCTCCTGTGTTGCAGGTGTCACTGTGTTGCAGTTGCCCTGCTGGTCTCCTGCTGTCCTGGTCTGGTGAGGTGGGCAGGTCTTGATGAAGCAGTCTTGCTGGTCGAAGGAGTTTCCAGTTGACCCACTCTGGTTCTCCTCAGACCTACTCGGCAGGTGGAGGGTGGGGACAGGTTGCGGGGGCTGCAGCTGGGTCTCCATGTAGCTCAGGGGGCTGTGCACGTAGCTGACCTTACCCAGGTGAGGGTGCAAGGTGAGGGGGAAGGCAGGTAGGGCAGTGGAGGTGTAGAAACAGGAATGGAGGATCTGCTGGGAGGAATTCAGGGCAAACTGAGAGGGTACACCCAGAATGGAGCTCTGTTCCTGGGCAGAAAGCAAAGATGGAGTCCCCTGGAGGTGTCTGGAGGTGGAGGCGGGCTGAGGGGGAGGATGCATCAACACAGAAAGGCAGGACGGGGCTCTCTCTGATTGGCTGAGCTCTGAAAAGTCACTGCTGACACATGAGTTGGTGGGCGGATCTGACAACATGACAGGCCAGGTGACATCATCCACTCTTCTTCTGCTTATTATTGGATCGCTGCCTCGTCTCTGCTGTGTGATTGGATGACTGAATCTGTTGCTCTGTTTCCTGTCCTGTGATTGGCTGAGAGATGCTGTGACTTTGGTGACATGTCTTCCAGAGGCTTGACAGCTCCTCTTTGTTTCATCATAATCTTGGACCCCCACAGCCTGCTGATAGGTGGGGGGGGGACTGTCCTGCTGACCAATCACCTTAAAGTTTGCTGGCTTGTTGTTCTCAGTTGTTGTTGTTGTTGGAGCTGTGGAGAACGGGAGGCTGTATGTGTTTTTAACTAAACTCCTCATGTCCCTCACCACATGAACTGGACCTTTAAACACACCTCCACCCATCTTACCTCCTCCCCCCTCCCTCACCCTCTGCTGGTCTGCGGGCTGTGGGAGGCTGGGTAACACAGCAGGTTTCCTCTGCAGATACGAGGTTTTAGAGTTGTTTTGCTCCACCAACATTTTCTTTGACAGAACACTCTTAATGATGCAGGATGCCATCTTTGTCTTAGTTTCGTCCAAAGAGAAGGACTTCTGCAGTCGCTGCCGCGAGTTTTCTCCAACCTGAAAGCCTAACAACAACAAAGAGGAGACAAATATAAGTCTTTTGGACAGGAAGTGCTCACACACCTATACTATACCTAACCCTTTATGACAGGTATTATTACCTTGACTGGCCCCAGCAACCAGGCCCCTGTAGATCCTGTAGCTGTCGGCATCACTGCTGGTCGTTGAGCGTGTGTGTAGGGAGGCGGGCATACTATGTTGCCGTAGCAACAGATCAGGGCGGTGAAGGACGGTGGGACGGAGCAACTCATTGGCTGACACTTCACAGTTAGCAACTCCCTCTTCAGCAGGTCCATCCTTCAGTATACAGACAGGTAGACAGGTAAACAGACAGACTGGTAGACAGACAGACAGGTTCGGACAAGTGACCATGCATGAGTCGTACCTGTAGTTTCTTAGGTTTCTCCTGGTTAATGATGTTCTTAGCGTCTTTCCTCTTCAGTTGAATCTGTCGTTTTGGGACCATCTTTAAACCCCCCCCCTCCTGACCTTTCACCTGGACAGAGTTGTAACAAGTTAATAATGTGAAAATAGAAATTCAACTAAAGCTAGTCAGTCAGTCAGTGGACGGTGAAACTCACCAGTGGTTCCACATTAATGTCAACACACTTGAAACCAATCTCTAGATCTGACTCTTCATCATCTGATGGGAGGATGACTGAAGGAGAGAAGTGGAGAGAAAGATCTTCCTCCGACCAGTCACTGATACTCCCCTCTTCCTCCTCCGCCTCTTCCACAGAGCAACGGGTGGAGGAGATGTCCAGGTAATTTGCCTCAGACTGACTTGTACAGGGCAACTCAGAGATCTTCTCAGCAGGAATTAGTGGACACGGTGGAGGAAATTGTGTCTCAGAGTCATGATGAGGCAGCAGGTCGACTTCTGGGCAGCGGTGAGCGCTGAGGAAGAACTCCCTCCCTCCTCCTCCTCCTCCTCCTCCTCTGTGATTCAGGACAGTGCTCATAGTTTCTAGTTTCTGTTTATCAGAGTATCTGATGTTTGATTCTGATGGGACCTGAAAACACAGATTGTTAGTGCAGAGTATCTGTTTTACATGTTGATGACATTGTGACATAAATGTTGCTATGATGATTAAAAATAATGTAGTAAGTAATAAAATATATTAAATTAAAAATTACATTATTTTATGTAATTTCTTGTTGGTGTCTTGGTGGCAAAAAGTTCAAATGTTTAAACTTTGGATGGCAATGCCTCTGCTTGCTGGGCTCACATAATTTCACCATCCTGCTCATGGTGGAGCATTAAATAGCTGATAAACTAATACAAACTTGACTTTTTATTCAAATGTTTGCCCAAAAAAAGAATCAAAATAACTAACTAACCCTAACCCTAATCATAATCTGTTCACTGCACCTGATATTTTTACTTTGCACTACAATTAGACCGCTTATTTATAATTTTTTTTTTATAAATGTTTTATATTGCATTTTATTTTGCTTTTTTGATATGTCTGTGTTGTTACTGTGTGTAATGCTGCTGCTACACTGCAATTTCCCAGCTTGGGATCAATTAAGTATATCTATCTATCTATCTATAACTTTTCATTGAAAGTTTGTTGGAAAATTTATAAATTCAGTTTCTGTTTTTAGTGTCGAGTTGTATCAAACTCATCAAAAACTCCACGGTAATTCATTTTCTCCCTAAAACTTCACCAAAGATGACATTTTAGAAAAATAAATAAGTAAACAATAAATAATAAAACAGATCAAATTATTTTAAACTTATTCTTACCTCTGAAGATTCTAGGTCAGTATCAGGATCAGGATCTGGTTAGATCAGGATCAGGAACAGGAACTGGTTCTAGTTCCTGGTCAGAGTCTAAGATCAAGTCCAGTCCAGTTTCCGGTCCTGTTCGAGGATTTATTCTCTTTGGTTGTTTCACTGATTAAAATCCAACTTTAAAGAAACATTTGTGATCCCCGATAGGCAGGTCAGAGCAGTTTCTGGTTTCAGAGTGTCTGTTTGTTTCAGTTTAAACTTGGTTCAACACCAGCTCAATGTCGGGGCGATCTGCACCGTCTGTCCTGCAGGAGAGAGAGAGGTTGAGTGTTGGTGACAGACTACAGGCTCAGAGAGGGACAGAGAGAGAGAGATAAACAGAGAGAGGGGGGGGAGAGAGAGAGAGGGAGAGAGATGAACAGAGCAAGAGAGAGAGAGAGATAAACAGAGAGAGAGAGAGAGTTGGTATCAGACTGCAGGTTTCTATTTTAGGAGGTGATTGACAGACAAGGCTGCAACCACCCCCCACCATCACCAGCACCCCCACCTCACTCTGTGTATGTTTGTGTTTGTGTCACTGGGCTTGTGTTTAACCCTTCAGGTTCCTTCACCTGTTCCCTTAGCTGTCCACCTGTGTGTCACCATGACAACACTGCAGTGATGGATGATGAACATTACAGCAGTAGCTTTACATCGTCAAACCCTGCACCCTGGACAGACGACTGCATTCCTCTGTCTCTGACATCTAAAAAAAACTAATCCATGCATTTGTTACTTCAAGGCTGGATTACTGCAACTCTTTATTATCAGGTTGCCCCAATAAGTCCATTAAAACGCTCCAATTAATTCAGAACGCTGCAGCACGAGTACTGACAGGAACTAGAAAAAGAGATCACATCTCTCCTGTACTAGCTACTCTGCATTGGCTCCCTGTAAAATGTAGAATAGAATTTAAAATCCTCCTCCTCACCTATAAAGCTCTTCATGGTCAGGCGCCTTCATATCTTAAAGAGCTCATAGTACCCTATTACCCCTCTAGAACACTACGTTCTCTGAATGCTGGGCTACTTGTGGTTCCTATAGTCTCTAAAAGTAGAACAGGAGCCAGAGCCTTCAGTTACCAAGCTCCTCTCCTGTGGAACCAGCTTCCAGTTGTGGTTCGGGAGGCAGACACCCTCACCACATTCAAGAGTAGGCTTAAGACATTCCTCTTTGATAAAGCTTATAGTTAGGGCTGGATCAGGTGAGTCCTGAACCATCCCTTAGTTATGCTGCTATAGGCCTAGACTATCGGGGGATTTCCCATGATGCACTGAGCTCCTCTCTTCCTCTCTTTCTGCACTCATTCATGTCCCATTAATGCATGTTACTAACTTCACTTCTTCCCCGGAGTTCTTGTGCTTTCTCGCAGGTTCTTATCGATCCTGGTGGAGCCTCCTGCCATGGTCCTGCTTAACTGCCATTGCTAATATCACTGATATCAGTGTTATTATTATTATAAAGTATTATTATTGCTATGGTTACTGTTGTTGCTGTTGTCACTGCTCATTGTCATCCATCGTTGCTGTTGTCATGTTCATCATCATCAGTCACTACTATTAGTGTACTGTTGTTGCTGTGCACCTGTCTGTCTGTCTCTCTCTCTCTCTCTCTCTCTCTCTCAATTCAATTCAGTTCAATTGAATTCAGTTTTATTTGTATAGCACCAATTCATAACAGAAGTTATCTCAGGACACTTTTCAAATAGAGCAGGTCTAGACCGAACTCTTTATAACATTATTTACAGAGACCCAACAGTACCACCATGAGCAAGACCTTGGAGACAAGGGCAAGGGAAAACTGCCTGTTAAAAGGCAGAAACCTAGGACAGATCCCAGAGAGACAGACAGACAGACAGACAGACGGACAGACAGGTCTCTCTCTCTCTCTCTCTCTCTCTCTCTCTCTCTCTCTCTCACCCCAACTGGTCGAGACAGACGACCACCCACCTAGAGCCGGAGGATCTGTCCTAGGTTTCTGCCTTTTAACAGGCAGTTTTTCCTTGCCCTTGTCTCCAAGGTCTTGCTCATGGTGGTACTGTTGGGTCTCTGTAATTAATGTTATAAAGAGTTCGGTCTAGACCTGCTCTATTTGAAAAGTGTCCTGAGATAACTTCTGTTACGAATTGGTGCTATACAAATAAAATTGCAGAGTCACTCTACACTTATATTTTAAATACTTGATATATTTTATACTTTATATTTTAAATGCTTCATAGTTTATATTTTAAATACTGTATATTTCATAATTTAAGGTGGCGTTATTGCAGCTGTTTGTTGTTTACTCAACATAAAAACAGAAAGAAGAGGAGCAGCTAACTGAACCTTGAAGGTGTTGTGGAATATTTGAAGGATTCAGGGTTTATTATAGGATTTAGTTCGTTTTTATTTATTTTTTATTGTGATGTAAAGTAGTCTCATATATGCCTTACACTACATACTCCGTTACAGTAGGTGGCAGTATGCACCTTATAAGTAATGGTTGCAACCCGCCATAGAAGAAGAAGAAGAAGAAGCAGAAGCAGAAGCGGAGCGGAGCGACGGACAGAAAACTGCTCTGCTGCACCGGGAGAGACTCTACTGGTCTCTACTGGACTCTATTGGTCTCTACTGGACTCTACTGGACTCTATTGGTCTCTACTGGTCTCTACTGGTCTCTGCTGGACTCTACTGGTCTCTGCTGGACTCTACTGGTCTGTGAGCTGGTCCTGGATCAGATGCCTGGCTTTGAGTTCGGAGGTTCGGAGGTAAATCCGGTTCAGATATCTCTCTGTTGAACTAGTTCAGTTTTCCCAGAATTCCGTGTGTATCCTATATGCTAATGCTAACAGCTGCTTTACGGCAAACAGCTGATCAAACGTCAGAGCGGAAGCGGAAGAGAGAAAAGAAAGTGCGCATCAGAGAATCTGAGACGCCCCGAGTGATCGATATCGATCAGTAACAAATATCACAAACTATTCTGATCACAGACACAGAAATGAGCCGCGCAGGCGCAGAACTTAGGATCATTTTCAGCCCGGGCCGCGTGCAGCTGGTTCAGGTAAACACTCACCTGTGAAGAGCTAACCGTGCTAACAGAGCTAACAGAGCTAACAGTGCTAACAGTGCTAACAGAGCTAACAGAGCTAACAGAGCTAACAGTGCTAACAGAGCTAACAGTGCTAACAGAGATAAATAAGCTAACAGTGCTAACAGTGCTAACAGAGCTAACAGTGCTAACAGTGCTAACAGTGCTAACAGAGCTAACAGAGCTAACAGTGCTAACAGAGCTAACAGAGCTAACAGTGCTAACAGAGAGTTTTACACAGATTTCTTCCCAACATGAAGAATTATTTCATCAGTTATCTATCGATTGATTGATTGATTGATTGATTGTTTTACTGTCGTTTGATTTTTCTTTTTATAAAAAAACCCCAAAAACATACAGATATCCTACAGAGGATTTTATTGATCACTCCTAGGGATGTCAATACCAATCAATCAATATCAGTGAAATCCCATGATCCTCGATACTGATTCAGCCCTGCTACCTACTGCTCAATAATGTTTCTGATATCACTATTGATTATAGTGTGTTTATCTCTATTGATTATAGTGTGTTTATCTCTATTGATTATATTGATTATAGTGTGTTTATCTCTATTGATTATAGTGTGTTTATCTCTATTGATTATAATGTGTTTATCTCTATTGATTATAATGTGTTTATCTCTTTCTGATATCACTATTGATTATAATGTGTTTATCTCTTTCTGATATCACTCTATTTTATGGTCTGTTTTACTCTAAATGGGACCATCAGTTACTAAATGAACATCATGCTGTATGGAAGAAGACTGAAACTAGAGACTGAGACCAGAAACTCATCAGGAAACTGTTTACTGAGCTCATAAATCAACTGCTCCATAAGACTCAATACTATCAGAGTGGAGCTGCCCCCTGCTGGCTGTTAGAGAGAATGCAGGTTTATGGCATTACACAGACCTAGAAGCTCTGTTATTATATAAATTGACAATGTTCTATAGTAAGGGTACCTTCTGTTCTGATTTTATTGATCACTACAGGCAATTTTATTTAACAATCTGATATTCTATCAGGAAAGAAATTAGGACTGATTGTAGTAGTACCTGAAGTACCTGTAGTACTACCTGTAGGACTGATTGTTGTACTACCTGTAGGACTGATTGTAGTAGTAGTACCTGTAGGACTACCTGTAGGACTGATTGTAGGACTACCTGTAGGACTGATTGTAGGACTACCTGTAGGACTGATTGTAGGACTACCTGTAGGACTGATTGTAGGACTACCTGTAGTACTACCTGTAGTACTGATTGTAGTACTACCTACTGATTGTAGTACTACCTGTAGGACTGATTGTAGTAGTAGTACCTGTAGGACTACCTGTAGGACTGATTGTAGTAGTAGTAGTACCTGTAGGACTACCTGTAGGACTGATTGTAGTAGTAGTAGTACCTGTAGGACTACCTGTAGGACTGATTGTAGTAGTAGTAGTACGTGTAGGACTACCTGTAGGACTGATTGTAGTAGTAGTAGTACCTGTAGGACTACCTGTAGGACTGATTGTTGTAGTAGTAGTACCTGTAGGACTACCTGTAGGACTGATTGTTGTAGTAGTAGTACCTGTAGGACTACCTGTAGGACTGATAGTAATACTATGTATTCCAGGAGGAGGCTATGGTCCCTGCTCCGAGGGTCTTGGTTACTGGGGCAACGGGTCTTCTGGGTCGAGCTGTCTGCACAGAGTTTCAGAACAGCGGCTGGTTAGTTATCGGGACTGGATACAGGAGGGCCAGACCCCGCCTCCTACGCTGTGACCTTACAGATGAGGACGCCGTCAAAAGATTGCTGCACGAATACAAGGTACAGTTTTTAGTTGAATCTATTTTGCACAAATACACACAAATGACAAGAATAACAAAGGAAATGAAGTGCAGGGAAAAAACAGAATATAGTATGTCTGGATTATAAGCGAGGGCAATCTAATGTAATATAATAATAATAGTGCAAAAATGTAAGTGGTGTGTTTGAGTGTGTTACAGTTGTAAAACAGCAGTTAAATGGTCCTTTAAGCATCTTTTGCACTATTTTAAGGAGGAACAGCTTTTTGCCAAATGGGAAACAATATTCCATAATGTGGTACCTACCACAAACTGACCTCTGCTGGTGATAGCTTTAGGAGGATGAAGGTGTGAGGATGAAGAGCTGAGTAAGAATAAATCTGTGAGTTTCCCTGAACGTACATCTTGAACAAAATATTCCCTTTATATGCATTAATCTTATAAACAAAGACACACACACACACACATACATATACACACACACATATATATATATATATATAATCAAATGGATTGTTGAGATAAGGTTCACCATTCAGAAAGACTGAAAGGAACTCAGGTAGTTTTCCTCTTTGCAGCAATTGATCTATTATATATATTTGCATATCTATTTTTAGACTGTACATACTGCCTCCCCTTTATTCCTGTTGTGCTATGGGCTATTGCAACGTAATTTCATTTTGATGCAAATCCAAATGACAACTAAAGTCTGTCTAAGTCTAATAACTTTCCAAGTAGTTTCATTTGAACACGTCTGAAATCTTTCACTGAAATAGTTATTTTTTGCCATATAATGGAATGAATATATTGATTTCTGTAAGATTTATAAACTCCACGGGTAAGAGGATGAAGATTTCAGACATTTTCTGTACAGTTTCTTCTTTTTCCTCAAAAGCTTCAATAAATCAACTTTTAAATTGACTTTTTTAATTAAGTCTTGACTGTATTTCTTGGTAGAACTTCCAACTGGAAAACAGTTCTGACATCAAAAAGTATTTTCCTCATATAAATCATCCCATGCAATACTAGTTAGTGTATCTTAAAATTCTTAAATTTAGAAATATTTGACATGCTCTTCATTCTTATACAGTTTGTATATGTATACATATATAAATACACACACTATACATCTGAAATGAGTCTCTGTCTTTCAGCCTGATGTGATCGTCCACTGTGCAGCTGAGAGACGTCCGGATGTTGTGGAGAGACACACTGAAGCAGCTGTTAATCTCAATGTACACGCCACAAGCATGCTTGCCAAGGAGGCAGGTGGGTGATCACCAGGGGCCTCATGTATAAAAGACTGTCACTTTCATACAGAAAGAAGGCGTACTCAGAAAGCTTGAAAAGTACATACACAAAGAAAAATCCACATGTATAAAACCGGGGGGACGCAAGGTCCTGTGCACGTTTCCTTTATACATCCCAATCAATGTGAAATTGACTGCATGTAAACACGCCACTGACCCCACCTTGCCTCCACTCTAAGGCTGCTCAATTAATCGAGTTTGATCATGATTACGTTTTTTGGGGCCAAAGGATCTCAAAACTAATAAAATCGGGGGGGGAAACGTTTTTTTTTTCATTTTCTGTTGTGCAACGTTGTATAGAAAAAAGCTGTGTCCCAATTCAGTCTGCGTATTTCGCGCATGCGTATTTCCGTCCCTCCCCCACAGCATGCACTGCACATGAGTCAGTCACGTTGTTTTCGTTGGAACAGGTAACGCGTAACAGTAACATGTAATCAGTGTTTCCGCTAGGATTTTTTTTAGCACTGGGGGCAGGCCCGTCCAAACACCACATGCCTGTCTGCCCCATTTCTGATACTTTGGCGGCAGAAATTTAACAGCGGCGGGCCGCCGCTCCAAAATCAACCTAGAGGAAACACTGGGTAATTTCAAATGTTGTGGCAGTACTCCTAAAATTTGAGAACACAAATAGTTTTTCTATGGCTTATCTTTTGTGTGTTATTTTATTTAATTTAACTTTTTGTAGAGATTGCAAGAGTGCACTATGACTGTCAATGTAAAAAGGAGACTTACAAATGTTTATGGGGAAAGGAAAGTGTAACTGAGGACTTCCTTGCAAAGTGTTTTTGACAAATGTCCAATAAATGCAGCATGTTTCTGAAGTTTAAAAAAATAATCGTTCGAATAATCGTGATTTAAATTTTGACACAAATAATCGGGATTACGATTTTTTCCATAATCGAGCAGCCCTACTCCACTAGAAAATCACTATAAAATGTCTATAAATATGTCTGTGCGGTTCTTTTCTGTCCAAATCACAATGGACAAAACTTCACAGAGAAGGGGAAATGAAGGTGGTGATCACTGAGGTGGAAGTCATACAGATATTTTATCTGGTGGTTTGTCCTCTGGAATAAGCTAAATGGTTCAGAGGACTGTACAGTGGCAGAATAATGGTCTGATATCAAGGTGGATTTCAAAGTCTGCACATTGGAAAGAACTGCTTTTACAGTTCTTTCACACTAAATGCATTACCTACCTAACCCTAACCCCAACCCTTCACACAGTGATGGCCTTACGTTCATCCACTTACCAGGAGCAATTTGACGTTCAGTGTGTTGCTGCAATTAGAAGCATCCTGCCAGCATGCAAGGGCAACTCAGACATGTACGTTGCTCCTGGCTGTATGACTGCTGCACTCGCCTCTGGTGTGTGTGTCTGTCTCCGTGGAAAAAGTGAAGTTAGTAACATGGATTAATGGGACATGAATGTGTGGAGAGAGAGAGAGAGAGAGAGAGAGGAGCTCAGTGCTTCTTGGGAAATCCCCCAATAGTCTAGACATCCATCTCTGTAACATCTGTCTCTGTAAATGGACCTGTACTTGTATAGCGTCTTTCTAGTCTTCTGACCACCCAAAGTGCTTTTACACTACTACTTTACACACCGATGCACAGCATAGGGAGCAATTTGGGCTTCAGTATGTCAAGGATACTTCGACATGTGGGGATCGAACCAACAACCTTCGGATTAGAGGACGACCGCTCTTCCTCTGTACCACAGCTGCCCATCTGTAACATCTGTCTCTGTAACATCTGTCTCTATCTCTGTGACATCCCTCTCTGTGACATCTGTGTACAGCTGGCTGCAGGGCGTTCTTCCTCTACATAAGCACTGACTACGTGTTCGATGGGAGGAATCCTCCTTACGGAGAAGACGACAGTCCGAATCCTCTCAACGTTTATGGACGCAGCAAACTGGAGGGAGAGAGAGAGACACTCAGACACTGTCCAGGTACCTATCATTCTTTCTCCCTGTTTGTCTCTCACCTGTCTGCCGACCTGTCTTTCATCTGACTGTCTTTCTACCTGTCGGTGTTCTTACCCGTCTGTCTCTCGCACCATTGGTCGGAGCTCAGATTGTCTGTCTCCAGCTATTGATGTGTGTGAAGGTGAAAAATAGACAATGTGAATATAATCTGCACATGAATGTTTCAACCAATGTCTCAAACACAACTTCAGAAACTGAGACAGACAGACTGACTGACAGCTCCACCTGCTGGTTTGAACAGAGAATTGTTCATAAAATGAAACCGTATTTTTAGCAGATAAAGTGATTTTCTCTGATTTACAATCATTAAGACATTTTGTGCATTAGAGGATCTTTGTGTTTACTGCTGGGTGATATACTGGTTTTAATTTTTCATGTACCTTCATACTGTACACTCTTGTTCAATAGAACACTAGAGAAATATCTGAGTATTTTATGTCAGTTTGAACTGTTTATATTTGAACATATTTAGTTTAGAAAAGGAAGTAATGATAAAGATCTGTAACATATAAACTGTAATCAGTAGTAGTGATCAAAGCCAATTACGTTACACACAATGACAGTGTTTTTATATTTTATTGTAGCTGACATTAGACACTCCAAACCCATAAAGGCCCAGTCTGCACAAACAATAAATAAAATGAAATACTATCAAACATACTACACCACGAAACTGCCCAGTACTGCTTCAACCTTCTAACCATTTTACCACTAAAATATCTTCATATGTCCATTTTATCCTTTCACTGACTGAACTAGCGTAACTCTGTCAGCCAAAAAAACACAAGTATCTCCACATATCTACCCGTAAACTCTCCTGTAAAAGGGGAGAATTGGTGGTGTTGTTGTTGTTGTTCTTGTTGTTGTTGTTCTGTGGGGCCTATAACCCCAAATGGCCAGACCAGGGCCCCTCGGTCCTCGTGCACACTCCTGTGCCTCCTACTTCAGCCGCGGCCACAGAAACACCTGAGACTAAACAGTTTCCAGATGAAGGCAATTACTTATTTTTACCTCAACTTTAATATCATCGAAACGTAAAGAAATACAGAAAGCAGTTGGAATTCAGCTAAGCTCCCTGCACTCCGGGACAATATTACGTAAACTCCCTTCAAAAAGTCAGTTTGACTGTCAATTCAGCATCAATATAATCCATTATTAATCAATCAATCCATTAATAGTTTTTCCCTACAAAGTGTACATTTGGTTAGCTGTGTTTTTCACCTTGCTGTCTGTCACCTGTCTCTCTGTGACCGGTCTGTGTGTCAGGTGCGGTGGTTCTGCGGGTGCCAGTTCTGTTCGGGGAGGTGGAGTCGGTGTCTGAAAGCGCAGTGACATCACTGTGGCTCAAAGTCCAGGAGACGACGGAGAGCTGCACTCTGGATCACTGCCAGCAGAGGTTCCCCACCGACAGTCGGGACGTCGCCACTGTGTGCAGGAAGCTGGCCGAGAGAGCCAGACAGGTACCGTCTGTGTATGAGAGAGAGAGAGAGAGAGAGACAGGTGTGTCTGTCGGTGCTCTCTGTCAGTGCTCTCTGTCGGTGCTCTCTCTGCCTATCTCACCGCCTGTCTGTCTGTTCTAGGACCCATCTATCAGAGGGATTTTTCATTTCTCAGCTAAAGAGCAGATGACCAAATATGAGATGGCCATAGCGATCGCCCAGGCCTTCAACCTGCCGTCCAACCACCTCATACCTGTAAGTACATATCAATATATGAATAAATACATGGAGTTATATATATGTTTATATAAATATTTACAGTACATTCAATTCAATTTTATTTGTGTAGCGCCAAGTCATAACAGAAGTTATCTCAGGACACTTTTCAAATGGAGTAGGTCTAGACCGAACTCCTTATAACATTATTTACATATATTACATATAGTCAGAGGATCCAATCTCAACAATCTTTTGTGTACTGACTGGTAATGGCTATGTTGAGCTATATTGAGCCAATCATTCATCACGCAGCTGTTTTTACTCATGAAGCTGTAATGCATGGTGCAGCCATCGTCAGCTCTCTGCTGTCTGTCTCTGTTTTCCACTCTGAGGTCTGTGTGTGCTTATAGGAGGCACTCAACCTCAAAAATGTCCCGCAAACAAAAAGAGTAATTAATTAATTACGCAGAAAAGATGTAGAGACAAAGGCTGATTAATAAACACAAACGGCGGTTCCACTTCGCCACAGTGATGGAATTAGTTTACAGTAACGCCACACTGAACAGATAAACAAAACAGAAAAATAAAGTCTTTACGACAGAAACAGTGTCAGATGTCCGAAATATTAGATTCAATAACATATTTATATACTGTATTTTCTGGACTATAAGTTGCTCCGGAGTATAAGTCACATCAGTCAAAAAATGCCTCATGAACAGGAAAAACACATATATAAGTCGCACCGGACTATAAGTCACATTTATTTAGAAATGTATTTCACAAATTCCACGACCAAGAACAGACAGAGACTATGTAACTGGACACATAGAGGCCGAAAAGATTGAGAATTCTACTGGGAATGTTAATGAAGACGAAGGAGTGAAATGAGGTGAGCTGGGCGATATGAAGGCGGCCCATTTACAAAAGATTCACTGAACAAAAATGCTGATGTGGTACATGGAAATTTTGCTAAAAATGTAGAGAATGCAATGCAATCAAGCATTTTGGGTGATGTCTCGGCAAACGCCGGCAGCAGAGCAAATACTCTGGAGGCTACCTCATTTAGAAATTTATTTTACAGCATCCAAGACCAAGAACAGACATTCAATCAATTCAATTCTATTCAATTCAATTTTATATGTATAGCGCCAGTTCATAACAGAAGTTATCTCAGGAGACTTTTCAAATAGAGCAGGTCTAGACCGAACTCTTTATAACATTATTTACAGAGACCCAACAGTTCCACGATGAGCACTTGGCTTGGATCTGATAAATATGACTTGAACCAGCTTAGTGCGGTTCCTTTAATGTCAATTTGATGCTCAAGTCTCTGTAAAAGAATATTATGGTCAATGGTTTTAAATGCAGCACTAAGATCTAATAATACAAGTACAGAGACAAGTCCATTGTCTGAAGCAATCAAAAGGTAATTATTAACTTTAACCAGAGCTGTCTCTGTGCTGTGATGAACTCTAAATCCTGACTGAAAATCCTCAAATAAACTATTGTTATGTAAAAAGTCACAAGTCTTTGGCGACTACTTTCTCCAGAATCTTAGAGAGGAAGGGGAGGTTAGAAATCGGTCTATAGTTGGCCAAAACCCCTGGGTCAAGAGTGGACTTTTTAAGAAGGGGTTTAATTACAGCTACTTTAAAGGACTGTGGTACATATCCTGATAATAAAGAAAGATTAATCATATCCAGTAAAGAAGTGCCAATTAAGGGAACAACTTCTTTAAGCAGCCTAGTTGGGATCGGGTCCAACAGACAGGTTGATGGCTTCGATGTAGAAATTATTGCAGTTAACTGATGAAGATTGATAACAGAAAAACTGTCTGTCTAAATATATATCTGAGTTTACATTAAAGTTCCGGAACTTGGAGAGCCATTGATAACTGTTGATGGCAGTTGGTGATTCATTTTCTCTCTAATAGTAATAATTTTATTATAAAAGAAGCTCATAAAGTCGTTGCTACTTAAGTTTATGGGGATATGTGGCTCAAATAGAGCTGTGACTCTCTGTCAGCCTGGCTACAGTGCTGAGGAGGAACCAAGGGTTATTCTTATTTTCTTCTATTAGTGCTGAATAATAGGCTCCTCTGGCGTTACGGAGGGCCTTTCTATAGGATAAGATTATCTTGCCAAATTGAGCGATATTCTCATAATTTGGAAGCTAGTTTCCTATGTTTTAATAATTTCCTTTTTATAGGAGCGATAGAGTCTAATGTTCTTCGTAGTGAGCCTGCAGCACTATCAACAAGATTATCAATTTTGGTGGGACTAAAGTTATTATAGGACGCTGTTATATTCAGACTTGGAATTGAATTAAACACTGATGGAATTTCCTCCTTAAATTTAGCTACAGCACTGTCAGATAGACATCTGCTGTAGGAAGTTTTGCCTAATGGCTTATAATCTAATAGTATTAATTCAAAAGTTATTAAATAATGGTCAGATAGGAAAGGATTATGTGGGAAGACTATTAAATGTTCAATATCAATGCCATATGATAAAACAAGGTCAAGAGTGTGATTAAAACAATGAGTTGGTTTATTTACACAGAAGCCAATTGAGTCTATTAATGAGATAAATGCGTTACTAAGACTGTCATTTTCAACATCCACATGAATATTAAAATCACCTACAATAATTTTATCTGATTTAAGAACTAAACTTGATAAAAACTCAGAGAATTCAGATATAAAATCAGAGTACGGTCCAGGAGCGCGGTACACTATAACAAATAGAACTGGCTGCAGTGTTTTCCAGTTTGGGTGAGGAACGACCTGCTCTGCTTCTGAGCCACAGCTGCCCAGTTAACTCAGTCGGTAGAGCTGGCGACCCATATGCGGAGTTGCTGCAGCAGCCCGGGTTTGAATCAGACCTGCGGTCCTTTGCTGCGTGTCATCCCCTCTCTCTACAACCACCTTTCCTGTCTCTCTACAGCTGTCTATCAATAAAGATTTGATAGATGATAGAACAAGGTCAAGAGTATGATTAAAACAATGAGTTAGTTTATTTACACTCTGACAGAAGCCAGTTGCAACATGCGGCTATACATGTCATCACTGGTCACATTGGGCAGGGGTCCAGAGAAAACTACGGAGACCGACATAGTTTTAGCATAATTACACACCGACTCCACATTCATTTTAGTGACCTCCGATTGGCGTAATCGGGTGTCATTACCGCCGACGTGGATAACAATCTTACTATATTTACCTTTATCTTTAGCCAGCAGTTTTAAATAGGATTCAATGTCGCCCGCTCTGGTTATCGGTAGCAAGTTCACCATCCATTAAATTCTTCGTCCTCCGTGTCGCCGTCACTGTTTTTCGGCTGCATTTTTTGCTACCATCAGTTTGTAATCTGCAGAGTATGACTTTCTTTTGGGGGGCATTTTGTTTGTGTCTAGTCTTTCCAGTCCAGTTGTCTTTAAGTTAATGTTTCAGTTAATTATTTCAGGGGTAGGCCTACATAGTTGTGTATATATAACGGCTCTGGTTGTCACAAGCCTAGAGCGCCTTCTTGCGGCTGTGGCCGGTAATGTTTAGGCTACTCCTCGTTTCATGTCGGAATTATTATTCAAAAACATGTTAAATTTCATATATAAGTCGCACCTGACTTTAAGTCGCAGGACCAGCCAAACTATGAAAAAAAGTGCGACTTATAGTCCGGATAATACGGTACGTCCAGTCCTTCCACTGAGATAGAAACTGAAACATTATAGTTGTTTGCTGGCTGTAGGATTTTGGCTCCTAATAGCTACAGAGCAATATGATATTTTTATTTTATGGTATTAAATTGGCAAAGACCTCAGAATTGACATTTACTGCCAGTCAAATTACAGAGACTGTTTTCTTCTAAAAGGGGGCGAGGGCTTGACACAAATCCAAAGTACCTGGATGGTTTGCTCTCATCATTAGAGACTTGAGCATCTAATTAGCATTAAAGGAACCAAACTAAGCTGGTTTAAGTCCTATTTATCAGATCATTCGCAGTTTGTACACGTTAACGATGAATCTTCCATAAACACTACAGTTAGACATGGAGTTCCACAAGGTTCTGTACTTGGACCAATTCTATTGAGTTTATATACCGATCAGCACTAATAGTATATAGACTGATATATTGATCACTAACAGTATATAGACTGATATATTGATCAACACTAACATTAGATTATATATTATAATAATAATAATATATATATATATATATATATATATATAAACTGATAACCCTAAGCAACAAACAGTGACTGTAATTCTGAAATGAGACATTTGTCTTTCAGTTTTTTCCCATAAAGAAAAAAATACTTGGGATTCCCTGGTATGTTATGATGTATTTTATTAAACAAATGTTAAGAACTGTATCCGATTGTACTGTATTACATTGTTTCGCATTTAAATGTCTCGTGAATCGTAGCCCAGATATCTGATCCTCTCAGAATGGACAGATGGACACCTAGAGTAAACAATATTTGTTTTCACTGCTCTCTGCAGCAGAAAACATACTGCCGGTATATTGTTGTGGTATTAAGTATTTGTAGTACGCAGTACTGTTGTTTTAAAATGCCTTTCTGTCTCTCTCTGTAGCTGACGGAGCAACCAGCGTCTGCGTCAGCTCTTCGTCCAATCAACAGTCATTTAAATTGTTCCCGTCTGGAGCTGCTGAACCTGAGTGTCCAACCGCGACCTTTCACCTCCGCCATCAATGACTGTCTGTGGCCCTTCACACCGGACAAACTGTGGAGACAGACAGTCTTCCACTGAGAGACAAACAGGTAGAAAGTTCCACCATCGACTGTTTTTAGCTGTGTCACATTTGAGGCTCTGCCCCCTGCAGACTGATGACATCATAATAAATGTATGAGGTGTGGACCAATCCAGACTCTTTACCTGATGACAGAAACCATCTGTCCTACGTATCCCACAATCCTCTGAGTCAGCTGTGTAATGATGCGTTTGAGTGCTCTCATAAACCTGTAAGTTTATTAACTGATGATGTCATCGGGTTTCTTTCCTGTAGTGGACCAATGAAAACACACTGATGTCACACATTTACTGTCTGCCTGCTAATTCAGTTGTCATTAGCCACGCCCAGCTGTGTGGGTGGAGCCTGAGGTGAGACACATGACAAAGAGCGAGACATACAGGTGGACTGACAAACCTGTACAGATATTTACAGTATATGTAGTAATAGTCATTAAACCCAGAGTTCTGTCTGCAGGTTATTATCAGATTGTTGTTGGTTTGTAATCTGACCGAGACAAACAGATTTACTGTATACACTTCAGTGTGTGTGTGTGTCATTTAATGTAATGTCTGAAAATGAGAAATGTGATTTTCTTGTATTTGATGTAAATGTCTGTCAACTGTTCACATTAAACATCTCAAACCTGAATCTGAGGATGTTTTGATTTCCCTCAAACCAACTGTCCTAAAGGTCTGTCTGCCTCTGGGATGTGTAGTATCTAGTTTTAATTTGCAGGCTCTCTCAACTCTCATTCTCTGAGCTCTCCTTTTACTCCATCTTGAGTTACTCTGAATCACTGTGGCTTGTACAGAATTCCAGACATGTTCCAGAAAGTGCTCTACTAATGGAGTGTGTGTGTGTATTTCTTCTTTTCAGAATATTGTGTCTATTGAGTGAATCTTGTTAAGATGCTGTTGCCCCTTGTTTCACCCACATATTGTAATGTGTATTTTTTTGCAACACAATTTCTAGAGCTAATACACTCAAAAGTCTGTGTTCTGAAAAAATTCTCCTTGACTTATTGGGTTTTGGTTTGGATAATGATTTCACCTTAGTTTTAACCAGGTAACCCTGTAAATTGTTATTTTGCCTGAAAGCTGCAAATTAATGCATATTGCTTTTAATGTTTAGCTTAGTCCGATGTGTTTTTAGTGTTTTTACTATTTTATGTAAGTATTATTATTATTATTATTATCCTGTGATCCTGTAAGAGTTCAGTTCCTGTTGTAAATTTTTTGAAATTATTCTTTTTCACTCTGACAAGTCACACAGTCTTTGGAGATTATGTAGGATGGATGAGACCAGAATGGGACTGATTTGCTGGAAAGTTTTGAAACACTTCCTAAGGAAAGTCCTGGACTACCATCTAGTGGTCAGAACTGAAAATATGATTTTTTTGCTTATCTGAAATCCTCTGGCCGGCTACATATTCTGTGAAATCTTAGCAGTTGTGATTTCACTAGCCCAGCATAAGTGCGTTAAGGGTGGAAACTAGTCTTGTTGAGCGGAGAGTGTCTGTCTCTTTAAAAAATATCTTAACATCAGAATCAGAATAGTTTATTGCCAAGTGGGTTTTTACACCTACGAGGAATGTGACTTGGTGCGTTGGTGCATTAAAAAATACACATACATTAATCACATAGAAAAATAAAGTACTCAATAATAATATAAATATTCTTAGTGCTGCATTTGACACCATTGACCATAATATTCTTTTACAGAGACTTGAGGATCAAATTGGCATTAAAGGAACCGCACTAAGCTGGTTTAAGTCATATTTATCAGATCGCTCGCAGTTTGTACATGTTAACAATGAATCTTCAATAAATACTACAGTTAGTCATGGAGTTCCACAAGGTTCTGTACTTGGACCTATACTATTTACTATATATATGCTCCCTTTAGGCAACATTATTAAGAATCACTCCATTAACTTTCACTGTTATGCAGATTCAATTTCAATTCAATTCAATTCAATTTTTATTTGTATAGCGCCAATTCATAACAGAAGTTATCTCAGGACACTTTTCAAATAGAGCAGGTCTAGACCGAACTCTTTAACATTAATTACAGAGACCCAACAGTACCACCATGAGCAAGCACTTGGCGACAAGGGCAAGGAAAAACTGCCTGTTAAAAGGCAGAAACCTAGGACAGATCCTCCGGCTCTAGGTGGGTGGTCGTCTGTCTCGACCAGTTGGGGTGAGAGAGAGAGAGAGAGAGAGAGAAGACAGACAGACAGACAGGTGCATAGCAACAACAGTATTGGCAACGGCAATCTAGCAGGACCATGGCAGGAGGCTCCACCAGGATCGACAAGAACCTGCGAGACGAGAAAGCACAAGAACTCCGGGGAAGAAGTGAAGTTAGTAACATGCATAAATGGAACATGAATGAGTGCAGAAAGAGAGAGGAAGGGAGGAGCTCAGTGCATCATGGGAAATCCCCCGATAGTCTAGGCCTATAGCAGCATAACTAAGGGATGGTTCAGGACTCACCTGATCCAGCCCTTACTATAAGCTTTATCAAAGAGGAATGTCTTAAGCCTACTCTTGAATGTGGTGAGGGTGTCTGCCTCCAGAACCACAACTGGAAGCTGGTTCCACAGGAGAGGAGCTTGGTAACTGAAGGCTCTGGCTCCTGTTCTACTTTTAGAGACTATAGGAACCACAAGTAGCCCAGCATTCAGAGAACGTAGTGTTCTAGAGGGGTAATAGGGTACTATGAGCTCTTTAAGATATGAAGGGGCCTGACCATGAAGAGCTTTATAGGTGAGGAGGAGGATTTTAAATTCAATTCTACATTTTACAGGGAGCCAATGCAGAGAAGCTAGTACAGGAGAGATGTGATCTCTTTTTCTAGTTCCTGTCAGTACTCGTGCTGCAGCGTTCTGAATTAATTGGAGCGTTTTAATGGACTTATTGGGGCAACCTGATAATAAAGAGTTGCAGTAATCCAGCCTTGAAGTAACAAATGCATGGATTAGTTTTTCTGCATCTGTCTGTGATAGTATGTGTCTAATTTTTCTAATATTACGTAAATGAAAGAAGGCGGTCCTAGAGGTCTGCTTTATGTGGGAGTTAAATGACAAATCCTGATCAAAGATAACTCCAAGATTCCTGACAGTGGTTCTAGAGGCCAAGTTAATGCCATCTAGAGTAACTATATCTTTAGACAGTCAGTCTCTAAGTTTTTTGGGGCCAAGAACAAGAATTTCGTTTTCTTCTGAGTTTAACATCAGAAAATTGCAGGTCATCCAGGATTTTATGTCCGTAAGACATGTTTGTAATTTAGATAATTGATTAATTTAATTGGGTTTGATTGATAGATATAACTGCGTATCATCTGCATAACAGTGAAAGTTAATGGAGTGATTCCTAATAATGTTGCCTAAAGGGAGCATATATAAAGTAAATAGTATTGGTCCAAGTACAGAACCTTGTGGAACTCCATGACTAACTGTAGTATTTATTGAAGATTCATCGTTAACATGTACAAACTGCGAGCGATCTGATAAATATGACTTAAACCAGCTTAGTGCGGTTCCTTTAATGCCAATTTGATGCTCAAGTCTCTCTAAAAGAATATTATGGTCAATGGTGTCTGTGTTTGTGTGGTGGGACGTGCTACGGTAAGCGTACTGACTCATTTCCGGTTCACTTCCTGCTCTGTGTACACTGTTTGGTGCTGTAGCTCTGTCAGTGAACGCTAAATATACATTTTTTTTACTCGTTACAGCGGTTATTTACCCGCTTAACATTTAAACGTAGACTAGTTCTACTTAAGCACTCGGAGTTTCTCCCTCTTTTAGTGACTTTTCACTACTTTCAAAGTTTTTCATACACTCTAGCTTCATTAGCATTAGCAGTTAGCTATGGCTTCTCCCTCTCCCTCTCCTCTGTCCTGCTCAGTGTGTCAGATGTTCAGCTATTCCTCTGCCTCCTTTAAAGATCATGGTACCTGTATTAAATGTAGTTTATTTACTGCGCTGGAGGCGAGGCTTAGTGAGTTAGAGGAACGGCACCGCACCACGGAGATATCTTTAGCCGCTAAAGTTAGCCAGCCCCCGGTAGCCGGTGCGGTCCGACCGAAGGTAGCTTCTGTTAGCTCTGTAGATCCCCCGGTAGTTCCCGAGCAGCCGGGAAGACAGGGAGGCTGGGTGACTGAGCAAAGGAAGACTAGAACGGCGAAGCCCACAGGTCACCACCAACCCATTCACGTTTCTAATACATTTTCCCCACTCAGCGATACACCCGCTGAGGAACCAACTCTGGTTATTGGCAGCTCCATAGTCAGAAACGTGAAGTTAGCGAAGCCAGCGGCCATAGTTAAATGCATCCCTGGGGCCAGAGCGGGCGACATTGAATCAAATTTAAGACTGCTGGCTAAAGGTAAACGTAAATACAGTAAGATTGTTATCCACGTCGGCGGTAACGACACCCGTTTACGCCAATCGGAGGTCACTAAGATTAATGTGGAGTCGGTGTGTAACTATGCTAAGACAATGTCGGACACCGTAGTTTTCTCTGGACCCCTGCCCAATGTGACCAGTGATGACATGTATAGCCGCATGTCGTCATTCCACCGCTGGCTGTCGAGGTGGTGTCCAGCAAACGATGTGGGCTTCATTGATAACTGGAAGCCTTTTTGGGGAAAACCTGGTCTGATTAGGAGAGACGGCATCCATCCCACTTTGGATGGAGCGGCTCTCTTATCTAGAAATATGGCGAAGTTTATCTCTAAAACCTGACAGTCCAGAGTTAGGACCAGGAAGCAGAGCTGCTGTCTTACACACTTCTCTGCTCTTTCTTTAGAACAGTCACCCACCAAAAACCCCATAGAGACTGTGTCTGTCCCCCGACCACCTAAATTATTTAAAGAAATAAAAACAAGAGGAGTTCAACATAAGAATCTAATAAAAATTAAAACCAACTCCTCAGTAGCACAAAATAAGAGAATGAAATGTGGGCTGTTAAATATCAGGTCTCTGTCCTCTAAAGCTGTTTTAGTGAACGAATTAATATCAGATTATGATATTGATTTACTTTGTCTTACTGAGACCTGGTTGTCCCACGAGGAGTATGTTAGCCTAAATGAATCCAACCCCCCCAGTCATATTAATACTCACATTCCTCGAGGCACAGGCCGAGGAGGTGGAGTGGCAGCCATATATGATTCGAGCGTTTTAATGGACCCTAAACCTAAACTAAATTATAATTCATTTGAAAGCCTTGTTCTTAGTCTTTCTCACCCAAACTGGAAAACACTGCAGCCAGTTCTATTTGTTATAGTGTACCGCGCTCCTGGACCATACTCTGATTTTATATCTGAATTTTCAGAGTTTCTATCAAGTTTAGTCCTTAAATCAGATAAAGTAATTATTGTAGGTGATTTTAATATTCATGTGGATGTTGACAATGACAGCCTTAGTAATGCATTTATATCATTAATAGACTCAATTGGCTTCTGTCAGAGTGTAAATAAACCAACTCATTGTTTTAATCACACTCTTGACCTTGTTTTATCATATGGCATTGATATTGAACATTTAATAGTCTTCCCATATAATCCTTTCCTATCTGACCATTATTTAATAACTTTTGAATTCATACTATTAGATTATAAGCCATTAGGCAAAACTTCCTACA